TTAAAAAAAACTAAGGAAAGAATAATTAAGAAATATAAAATTAAGTTAAGGCTTTTTTAATTAAAATTATACATTATAAAATACTTAAAGCTATTGCTAATATTATTACTTAAATATTTGCTATTTAATTAAAGCTTAATAGGATTAATAAAGCCATTTAAACGCTTATATTAATTCTTCTTATTAAGATTAATAGCATAAAAATAATTAAAATAAAAAGTAAGCTCTTATTATAAAAAAACATTATTTAGCAGCAACTATTTAAATTATAATATATTAAGATTATTATTAATTGCAAAAAGAATATAAGGAAAATAATAGTTTTAATATAAATTAATTTAATAATTTAATTTTAAATATTTAATATATAATAAGGTATAAACTTTTAAATAGCTTAAAATTAATTAAGCATAACTTTAATTAAATAAGCTTTTAATTTAAATATTGCATTATAAAATATTTTAAAGCTAATAAAAAATGCTTATCTTAACATATATAAGGATCTTTCTTATTTACTTATTTTAATAATAAATATAAATAAAACTTAAAGCATATTAATTAACTTAAAATAATTAAAATAATAATAAAGTTTATTTAAGAATAATTTAAAAGGCTTATAAATAAATTAATTAAGTAATTAAATGCAAGGTATAAATATTAAAAGTAGAAATATTATAAAAAGTAAAAATAAAAGTAAAAGCTTTATAAAAAGCAAAAGTAGAAATTAATAAAGCTAATATATTATACTTAATATAATAATTAAAAAAAAGAATAAATTTACTTTTTATTTTATAAAGGTATTTAAATTTTTAATAGCTATATTAATACTAGCTATTAAAGCAAACTTTAATAATTAAAAGAATATAATTAATAAATATATTGCTAAGTAAATCTTAAGAATATTTAAAGCTTTTATAAAAAAATAAAAGTTATAATAAGATAAGTAAGTAAGAAATTAAAAATAATAATAATAATTAAAATTATAATAAAGTAAATTTTAAAACTTAAAAGCTTAATTAAAAATAGTAAAGTTTTATTTTAATGGTTTTTATAATACTTATTATAAAGTATTTAAAAAGGGGTATATTAATAAATATAAAGAATTATATAAGAAATAATATTATATTAAATTTTAATTAGCTATAAAAAGCTAGCTTTTATGCTTATTTTAAATATTCTTTTAAGAAATTAACTCTTTTCTTTTCTTATATATTTAATGCTTTAATTAAGCTTTTCTTATTTTTAAGAATTTTTAAAATATTTATCTTTTTCCTTTCTTTAATTCCCTTTTATTCTTATCTTCCCTTTTTATTACGTTAAAGCTCCTTTTTAAGTTATCCTTAAGAGGGTTTAGCAAAACCTATCCCTCATTATTTAAGTGGCTTGTTTTTATTATTAATATAAAAACTATTTAAAATAAAGCTACTTTATATAATTATATACTATTTATAAATTAACGATTAATTAAAAAAAACAATATAAACCATTAAATTTATACTTTATTATTTTATTTACGGCCTTAACAATTTATAAAAATAATTAAATACTTTACCATAAATATAATTTAAATATTATAATAATAAATCCTAAGCAATTAAAACTTCCTTAAATAAAATTATTAAAGGCTTTACCCTAAATAATATCCTAAATATTATTATAAACTAAGTACCTTATTAATTATTAAACCTTTCTTAAAGCTATATTTATATATATAATACCTTAATGCTTATAATAATAATAATAAAAATATACTTTAATAAATAATATTTTATATAATTCTTTAAAGTTAAAGCATAAGTATTACTTTAACTATATAAAGAATATAAAATTTTATAAAATATTAGCCATAAATATAAACCATAATATGCAAGCCCTTTTAAAATTATAAAAAGAATTAATTATTTTATATATTAACTTAACTTTCTATATATATAAAAGTTAAAGTATAATATTATTTCCATTAATTACTTTAAGCTATATTCTTTAAATTTATTTAATTAAAATATACCTTAAATTAAACTTATTTAAATTAAAGATTATGCAAAGCATATAATTAACTAATAATACTTAAAATTAAAAAACATAAAATATCTTATTAAATACATTAAATTAAAACTTAAATTTTAAAAATAAATAACCTTACCATAATTAAAACTTAATATATAATTACTACTTAATAAATTTACTTATAAATAACTATTTATTATAAACTTAATATAATAATTACTATTAATAACTATTATTAATAACTATTATTAATAATTATTATAATAACTTATAATAATATTTACCTAAAAACTTTAAATAAAAAAATAAAATAAATATAATAGTACTTAAAGCATAATTTTAATTCTTTTTTAAAAATTATAAACTTCTTCCTCCTTTTTATTTTTTTATTTATCTTTATTTAATAAAAAATATACTTAAAACAGCCTTATAATTTAAGCTTATTGCTAATAATAATAATAAAAGAAAATAAAAATAAAAAGCTATTTAAAAATAAACTTAAACGGCATAAATTTAAAGCAAAGCGCTAAGCTATAAATCTTTTTTAAAATTCAAAGCCTTAAATTAAAAATATTAATAATATTACGTATTAAAATAATTAAATTAACTTAATAATTATTGCAAAAAACTTATATATTATATTATAAATAATTCTTAATTTTAATAATATTAAAATTAATAAACTTAATAAAGCTATAAATCTCCTTACCCTTATTTACTTAATATAAAAATAAAAATATAATAAAAAGCTCTTATAATTTATTAAAAAATATAAAAAGAAGAAATATAAATAATAAATATATATTTATAATAAATTATAAAATATTGCTAATAAAAAATTTAATTAATATCTTTTTTATATAAATATAAAAATAAATTAATTAATTAAAAAAGCCTTAACTTTATTATATTCTTTATAATATTTATTTAATATAATAAATTATAATACTTTTTTTTCTTAAGCTAAATCTTAATTTAAATTTAAAAGATCCTTAAGTAAAAGCAATTTTAATAAAAATATTAAAGCTGCTAAATTTATATATAATAAAATTAAAGAAAACCTACTTAAAAAACTACTTCCTCTTAATAATTACTTTTTTAATAATAATTTTAATATTTTTATTATATTATTTTAAATTAAAAAATATAATTTATTAAAGAAAATTAATTAAAAAAAATTTAATATAATGCTTATAATAAGTTTATAATGCAACTTAAAGAAAATAAAATTTAATATATTCCTATAATTTATTATATCTTTTATTAATAATATAATAACTTATTAATTTATATTACTTTCCTTACTTATAATAAAATATGCTAATATTTATTTTTATTTTTTATTAATAATGCCTTTGCTTTTAATAAAATAATAAAAATATAAGTAATATAAAATAAAAAATATTAAATTTATTATTAAAATTAATAAATAATAAGCTTAAATTGCAAAATTATAATTAAAAAATATTAAATTAAATATTTAATAAAACTTACTTTAAATGCAACTTAATCTTAATATTATATATATTATTAACTTAAAAAATTAATTAATTAAGAAAAATAAATAAATTAATATTTTAAAAGGTAATTATTATACCCTATTTATTAAAATAATTATAAATAAATTTAATACCTTTTTTATTATTTAAAATATTATAAATATTATTATTAAATTATTTAATAATAAATATATTTTTAAATTAAAACTTTTTATAAATAACTTTAAATTAAGTAAAGATATAAAAGTAATTAATTATAAGAAATATAATAAATTATAAAATAAATCTTAAAATAACCTTAATATTTTAAAGAATAAAAATAAAAATTATAAAGAAAATAGAAATAATTTAAGCTTAATACTTTATTTAAAAAATAAAATATAGGATAATTAATTTATTAAACGTACCTTTTAAAATTATTTATTAACTATAAGGGCGCCGCTATTTTTTAAAGGGGGCAGATTATAAGGAAGGAGCATCGCACAAACCCCTTATAGGCATTAATAGATAATCCTCGGCCCCTCGGCCCTTCGATACAAACTTAAACAGAACGACAACCAGAAACCGAATACAACCCTCTTATTGCAGAACCCCCTGACAGAGTGGTTGGAACTGACGCTCGGACGGCAGTGCGGAGGCATATAAGGCAGCGTGATCTGCCTCTTGGCTCTCAAGGCTAATAAGCTTGGCCCTGATCCCTCTCGGCCATCGGGAGCCCCTGTGGCGTGCGCTCGAGGTGCTCCGTGGTCATTCGCGTCATGGCAATTGGGAGCGTGCACAGACGGGTAACCAGCGGCGGTGGACCACCAGGACTGCATTCCAAGACCGCCAGAATCACTCCAGAGCAGACGGCAAGGCAGGCTGAATCGCAGGACCCAGAGCTGACAAGGTGGCTGGGCTAAGCCTTACTCGGCCGCGATTGATCACCTGCGGCTCGAGCCAAGAGCGTGTTGTTTGGGGCCTTGCCGTTGATCAGCAGAAGATCCGGCTTGGAGTGTCCGGAGTTGCTCAGTGGCTGGATAGATGGACGAGTATAGGGGGCATTGTGTGGCTTGGATATGTTGGCATCTAATGTCCAATGCCGGCATCTGGTAGGGAAGGTGTGCTCGACCGTGTTGAAGAGTTACGAAGGCTTCAATCTGACCAATTTAGGGCCCTTCATACTGGTTTGACTGGGCAACGAGAATGTGAGGACCGTAGTAAGGCCGTACGGAGGCGCCTTCTACCTCGTGTCGGCATCGTGATGCTGCCAGCGATGCCGTCTATAAAACCGGTTGCATTCCCATACCAGCCTCAAGAGTTGGATTGAAGCCATCATCAGGAGCATCTTCAGTCTTTCAGCATCAGCATCAGCACCAGTACCCAGCAGCCGGACCTGCCTTTTAATTGTCTTTTTCCCCCTCCATTCCCATTGCTCGAACCAGTCAGCAGCTTTTCTAATTAACTTTATATTCCCCGTCTACGTATAACACCGGACCCAACAAGGCTAGCATCATGCCTTCCAAGACTATCGCCGCAGCCCTCCTCCTCTGCCTCCTCTCCCCACTCGTGGCTGGCCACGCTGCCATTGTCAGGGCGACTGGCGATGCAGGTGGACAGGGTATGGCCCTAGGCATCGACACCGCAACACCTCGTGACGGAACCCGCCGGAACCCGTTCCAGCAGGACTCGACACGCTTCAAGGGCCAGGCCGCCGACACCGTGGGCGAGACCCTTGCCGGCGGTGACAACGACGTCGAGGCCGGAACGACCGCCATCATGGGCGAAACGGGCGAGGCCCTGCCGCAGGTGACTCAGGGCGGCGAGGTCCAGATGACCCTGCACCAGGTCAACGGCGACGGTGGTGGCCCATGTGAGTACCATCCTTCTCCTACTACACATCCCCGATCTTTGTGATTTAGAATGTTCCAGAATGTATCACTTTGGAATCCGTAGCAGGTGACTAACAGATACTAGACAGCTGTGCCATAAACGATGACGCTACCGCGGCGGTGTGTGCAGCTCCCTTCCATGATCCTCCATCCCATCCCTCAAGCCTAGCGTGATGCACAGGAAGCTGACTGGTTTGTTTGTTTCTTTCTTTGTTAGACTTGGACAGACATCAGGGTCACGGACATGCCACCGGGAGAGAACTCTCGCAGCCGTGACACGCAGACATCCGAGCAGGCCTTGACGGCGGCGGTACCGGCCAACCAGGCCTGCACGGGCACCGTCGCTGGCCAGGACAATGTCTGTCTCGTGCGATGCATGAACGACGCCAATGCCGGTCCGTTCGGCGGTGTCGTCCCGGTCCAGATGGTCCAGGCCGCTACGGCCGGTAACGCGACCGCCGGAGCTGCCCCGCCCGCGGCTGCAAAGGCTGAGGCGAGGCGCAGCTTTGCCAGATACGTCGCCGCCAGGGAGAAGGAGCTCCAGAAGCTCAAGAAGCGGTCCTACTGAGCCGTGGCCGGGGACGAGAGGTGACACCGCGGGAGGCCGCAGCGGTCAACTGGTGAATTAGAACAAGGCACTTGGTGGTGATGCTGGCATGATCACGTCGGTGATACATGACTCTGCGATGACCTGGCCACCCAGCTAGACTGTTTCTTTCCTTGACAGGCGCGGAGTTGGGGCAAGAGGAGAGGCTGTACAACATACACTTTGGAAATCTGATCGAGGCAACTTGACGTGAGATGCAAATTGAGCTGTGAATACTGTACATTGAAAATGTGACGAGCTAATGAAGCAACAGTCGGGTATCAAGGACTGAAAAGAAATTCCAAGAAACAGAGACAGAAGCCAAAACAATGCCTGCGACGGCCTTCTTGCGCTTTCTTGCACAAGTGGAGCGGATCTTTTACCTTGCAGTTGACAAAACTGAGGAGTTTTGTAGAGTGTTGTGGAGGAGGGGCAAGTCAGAACGGGCCTCAGCGTCGACCTCGATAGCCCGGGTGTCCCGTCCACCACGTCGAGTATGCGCTGTAGTCTCGCTCGGTGCTGATGCCCAGCTGATCGGCAACATTGACGTAGCCGTCAGGGTTTGGTGTTCCGGAAGTGTTGATCTTGTTGATCATGTCATTGTCGCCCTCCCAAGCGGATCGACAGTACGGACACGAGACCACAGCCCTACCGACGCCGCTACCAGTTTTCTTCGTGGCCGCCCACATCTCGAAGCACTCCTTATGCTGTGATTGCGGCTGTTAGCAAAGCCGGAGCATCCACATCTATCGCGAGAGGGAGGGAGAGGGAGGCCACGCACGATGTTCTGGCCACAAGCGGCCTTGCACCAGACCAGCGGCTCCTTGGCATCTCCAGCCTGCATCTCCTCAAAGCAGATGGGACAGTCGCCTTCGACTGCTTTGCGGTTCTTGTCCTTTTCTGGGCCGGACTCGCTGGTAGGCGCGGGCGCGTTGGCGAAGATGTCGCGGAGCTCGGTGCTAAGCAGAGCGAGCTGGTAGACGTGGGCATCGGGAGCCCGGAGGATAGACTTTAGACACCACACGATGTGCTTGCATTGGTTCCCTGCTGTGCCGTGAGGGCAGCTGCACGTGGGCTGTTTCTGGATGTGGACGCGGTAGATGTTGCCGGTGGACCCGGTCAGTTCGAACAGCTCCTCGGGGCAGTCGGCAGTGCCGGAGCGAGTCCTCGAGAGCAGGAAGAATCGCTGGGTGGTGGCGCGTTCGTAGACGGCATGGAAGGACGAGGGAGCCTTGGGACGGAACCTGAGAGGGGATGTCCATGTCAGTAGCAGCGGGCTGATAGTAGGCAGGAGCAGGACAGACCTTCGAAGCCGCTTCTCGGCAGGAGGGTCAGCAGTGCTGGGGTCTTTGGGCTTCTTTGCCTTCTTCTTGACACCTGGCACAAGGACACCCGAGCCCACCTCCTCGTCGCCGCCGTCGCCGTCGTGTTGTCGCAATGGCGCAGCAGGAGTCACATCGTTGTCGGTGGGAGAGTGGCCGACCGTGGGTTGGCGCTTGCGCTTACGCTTGTTGTCGCTGGGGGCAGGCGGAGGGCCATCGCACGCGCTCTGGTCAGGCTGGACACCCATGCTGGCGGTGTTGGAGGTTATCTCATCTCAGGAGACATGGGTCAATGAATAACTGTCGTCGATTGCCGGTCGAGAGGCAATCCTGTGTCCGATGGCCCAATGTGGAGCGCGACGGCGTCATGACGCTCACGGCTGCATGGAGAAGCTTATCTTATCAGTTCATCTCAGTTCGTCCCATTCCAGATGCCAGCCCCACATGCCGCATGCACAGGGTTAGGGGAATTCGAAACATGCACCTCAGTGGTCAACCCAGCATCGTTCAACATCGATCCGTCACCAGTTTATTAATGCTGCTCGATGATCTTCAGCACGACTTCCTTCCTCAGCTTCTCAGTCTCTCGCCAGAGCCGTTCCCTCTTCGACCTCCCCCATCAACATGTGTACAAGTGTCAGTAAGAACCTGCAGCAGGTTCAGGGAGCAAGCAGCGGTCGATCCTGGCTGATGACTCTCTGCGGACCGTGATATTTGCCGACGTGACGATACCTTGGTTCCTTGGTGTGGACCCTCAGTGCTGAGCTGGGAGCTGGGCTGACAGGGCTTGTCAGTCAGTCAGAGTACTGCATACAGCAGCAATGATTGACGAAGGGACTCTAGACCCTGACCACAATCAAGGGTAAGGGTCCAGCTAGCTGGCTGGACAGTCATTCAAGCTCGGCAGTCACTGTACGCCAGAAGATCCAATCTTCATCAGTTGTGCCCAGTTCAAGCCACACACTCTCACACTCATTCGGATACACTGACAAGGGACCTTCCGAGCCTTTCCTTTCTCAGGGCCAGAGGCTTGAATTCTTGCTACGCTTCCCTGCCCCCGACGCGGTGTACATCGTAGGATCGCACCTCGCGCCCTGGCGATGACGCACATCCGCAGGGGATGTGTGCCCAGTCATTGGCCAAATTGTGCCACCCCTGCACCCATGTCCCCTATGTATCCCACCGACGGGGATGAGGGCCCAAGACTCAACGCGTCCATGTCCCGTCCTCGCATGACTCTTCCAGAGGAACACACACTCATACTACGTACACTAATTCTCACTCACAGCTGGGTACTCAGCAAAACTTGCTCCCAGCCAACCAAGGCCAACTTTTCCCGCCCACCATGATACAGCTTACCCAAACGACGTAATGGGACAACACACCATCACCACACCACATCCCGTTTCGAGACAAAAATCGCCAGCGCCCAATGGACCCATGGTCTCAAACCCTGGCTTCCCTGACTGCCAGGGCAGACATGTCTCCCTTTGTGGCCCTGTCCACCGCTGGAATGCACCCCTAGAGTCCCCTCGGTGACGCCAGCGTCGACCTCCCATCCTTGGCACTGCCCCCCCCCCTGGGGTGCTGTGTTACGAGGTCTTGGCCAGGTCGGCACACAAGTGTGTGCGGTCAACAGCATGATTAGACATTATTAGACTTTGTGCTGCACAGCCAGGCCTGTCTGGGCCATGCCTAGATTCAGTGATCCACCACCCGAGCTACTGCACTCCGTGTTAGTATGCATAAGTAAATGCTCTGGATACATATATCCAGCACTCCGATCGGCTGCCTCACTTTGGTTCGGCCCTCAACTTGCGATATCCTCCCGTAATCATCTTGTGTTCGATGTGAACTTGTCCTTCACGTCTCATTTTCCTTCTTGCCAGATTAGACCACATAACAGCAGCCGCCGTTCAGGCGCTGAAAAGACCCCTCCCCCCTTGCCCAGTCGTCCACCAGCCAGCCAGCTTGTTCCGCCGTCACGATGAAGTTCTCGGTCGGCTTGCCGCTCATCTTCTCCATGGCGGCCTTCGCCCTCGCCCTGGTGGCCCTGCTCGCAGGCAAGGAACCGGGCACGTTGGAAGAGTACCACATCGTGCTCTTCAACACATCCACCCTCGGCCATGACTTCATCACAAACATGGTCAGCGGCGATGATGATGATGCCTCGTCGACGTCGGCTACAGCCACGCCCACGCCCACGTCCACGGATGATGGTGGTGGTATCGGTGGTTTCTTTAGTTCTGTCAAGGCCTCTGCAACTGCCATTGCCGGCTCCCTCGAGAGCGAGGCCGCCAGCATACTGGATGACATCGGCAACGACGTCGCCGACAAGCTGGCCGACGAGCTTGGGATCGAGCAGTTCTACAGCCTCCACGTCATGAACATGTGCGAGGGCAACTATGCGCCGAATGCCACCGCCAGCAACGCCTGGCAGAACATCACCAACTGCACCACTCCCATGGACTTTTGTGAGCTTCTCCCGAGCCTCGACGCATCTTGTGTGCGGGTGGTTTGACGCGAAGTGGCTAACTTCTCCTGCAGCGTACATGAACATTTCTGCGATGCTGGACAAGGAACTCTCCGTCGGGCCATTCAACATAAGCCTGTCCGACCTTGGCATCACAGATGAACTCCAGGACAAGCTAGATGACCTGCCCAAATTGTTCCAGGCCCTTGCCATCATGTACATCCTTGGCGTCGCATTCTCTGGACTTGCCGTACTCGGGGCGGCTGCTGCCCTGTTTATCATCCCCTCGGGAGGTCGGAGAATTCCTCTTGCGAACTTTCTCATCGCGGCTCTGGCAATGCTGTTCCTCCTGGTTGGCAGCCTGTTGACGACCGTCGGCGTGAAGAAGGCCAAGGAGGAGATCCAGAAGAGGGGTGGCGATGAAATAGGCCTTGAAGTGCAAATTGGCAACAAATTCGAGGCCCTCACCTGGGCTGCCTTTGCGCTCATGACCCTTGCCACCTTCAACTGGGTTTATGAGACCGTCGCAGCCCACCGACGGCGCAGCACGGGAGCCGGCCGCTATAGGCGTAGGGGCGCCAAGGACGAAAAGTATTCCATGGACTCGCACCGCAACGGGGGCCGCCACTTGAAGGGTTAGAATCCTCATACGGCCAAGACCTGGCCACCAGCCGAGTTCTTGCTGTTGCTCTACCAACTTATTCCAGACTTTCAAAGCAAACTGGAGCAGTGTCAGGAAGGACCGGTGCCTTCCATGTATCTGAGATTGGACTACCACATGGTATTGTCAGAACGCTGTTCCTTGGGGTTTCACTTTCTTTTTTCTAGCGGATACCATTTGAATTTCTTGTTGTTAGAAAAAAGAGAAAAAAATCCTACGTGTAGTGTAGGTGGAGAATGATAAGCGAATTCAAATTTTTACCGCACCTGCCTCGGTTTAGTCTTCTCACTCCGCCTCTTTGCTGGGCGTTGCCTTGGTGATCATCACAACTCCCCAATGCTGCTCTTTATTACCATTGCCTCTTTTACTTTACTTGTCATTTTCTGCACTAAACCTTAGCACGCCTTGCACTCGTGATACTCCAATTTCCGAGGCTTATCCAACGCTGGGTCCAAGCTTGAGCAATCATGATTTGCTCTTGTCGGTGTTCAACGTTTGGACCAGAGTCAAGCTTCCGGATAAACTTGGGCGAATTGAACACTTATGAGCACTAAATAGACCTGGGACACAGCATCATCGAAAGTGCTGATTACTGCAGCAAGCAGCACGACTACGACGTTACAGGAGGATATAAGCGAGGCGTTTCTGCCAGAATCACCTATCACTCTAATGGAATACCACTTCCAACATCTACCGAGCCAGTACGTTGACATAGCACGGCTTCACAGTATACCGAAGAACGCATACAAATTCCAGCTTGATGAGGATTGCATTGTACTTCACCAATGATCAATTCCAAAATTCGTAGCTCGCTGAACGCGGGGTCGCTCACTCCACAGAGCCGACAAAACTAAGCCCTGGCCTTTGCAAGTCTGTCCTTGGTCTTAGCCACGTTTTCGGCCTCATTGAATATCCCTGTCACGCTAGGTGAAGCAGTCACTGCCTCTGACCACTTATGGAAATTTGGCGTTTTCTCCTGCAAATCTTTGGCCACGCTGGATGGAAGTAAGCCATGCTTCGGACGGATTAGCAGATTTGCGACGTCAAAACCCTACGCCTTGGAATTCGTGGAGGGCCGACTCACCTTGGCGTAAGTCTTGATGCGCAAAACGAACGGGCCGGTCAACACCTGGAGCGCGGTCAGTATGGCTTTCGAAATAATACCTGCTGGGAATGCGACCTGCCTCGGCGAAGGTCAGCTTCTTGCTCCCTCCGAAGAAAGGCCCAGCATCCTTCAACAAAGGCTCAATCTCCTTGGTGATGCCCTTGACGAGCTCCTCTGCGCTCTCGTTGGCCTCTTCGGCCGTCTTGGCGAAGAGCGCCTTGAACCAGAAGCTGTTGACCTTGGTGAACCATGCATCGACGAAGAAGGCGATGCGAGCCCTAGTCAATGCGCCATTGGGGTCGGTGGAGGCCGGCAGGAGGTGGGATGGGTACGTGTCGGCGAGAAACTGCGCGACGACGGCAGACTCGGTGAGGATCTCGCCGTTGTAGGTCAGGAAGGAACAAGGCCGCGCGGGTTGACCTTGAGGTACTCGGGGGTACGCGGGGTGCTGAGGTCGATGATCTCCTCCTCAAAAGGGATGCCAAGTTCGGCCAGAGTGATGTGGGCGCGGTGAGCCCCTGGGTTTCGCAAGTGGTTTGATCAGGACGACTGCCAAAAGTCCGATGGCGTGACAAGGGCAAGCGTTAGGAATGAATGACGGGTGTACTTACATGGGCATCCGTGGTTGGTATAAAGCTTGATCACTGCCCCCTTGGACGCCATGATGGTGGTGCTGTGGTGTTTTTGGCTTCTCCCTGGGTTCTGACACGTGCAATGGTTGTGGTTTGTTATGCGGCCTGTGACATATACTTATAGACGGGCAGACTTACAGATGAGCTCTCCCGGCAGATGGAGGAGCGCAATTGTCTCGTATATATGCGGAAGACGACCTCAGTTGTATCTACACGTAGGTTTGATTATGAAACATTGCATTTGTAATCATGTTCTCCTCACCACCGTGGACGGCTGCGAATCGAGACGCTTCACCCCTCCCGGGCGGCACCAAATGCGGATTGCATCATCTGCACCGAATCAGCATGATTGCTGCCGGGTGTAGCCATTAGCCATGTGCTAGGCTTATGGCTGGGCTGCATTGGGCTGATGAAGACAGCTCTCGAGCGGAAATGCCACGCGGCCCAAGACTCAACAGGCACGCTGACCGACTGCATCCTCTCTCGACCTCTTTGATATGTTATGTAGAAATAAGCATAGGAAGGGTTACCTTGTGCATATAATCCCAAGACCTGCCAGGCCCAGGGTCACGGCACCTTGACGTGGTATGTGGGCCGGGTGCTTTTGTGTGTGGGGCCTCAGGTGCCTCGCACCAGCCTGGTGTCTGCTGTGCTTCACTCGGCTTGATTCTACACCCGGCTGCCCGATCGCATGCATGCTGCTGCTCCCGAGACGCCATGGGTTAGCTGTGGCTTTACGGGCTGACGAGACTTCCGTGCAGACGCAACCATTCGGCCCGGTGTGCTGCAACATGCCTGCTCCTGGATAGAGTTTTCAAAACTCCGACTGGCATGAGGGCAATCGGCGACTCTCTTGGCGAATCCGCAGAGCCTCATTCTTAGAAGATGCAGCAGGCATCGTGGTCTAAGTGCGGACAATAACACATCACCACCTGCCCACCAACCAAACAACTTCCGGCGCAACCCAACATCGGCATTGCAGGACCAGCTCGCAGACATAATGTTTTTCTTCATGTATCGGCAGCGGCTGCGGATCAAGAGCAGTCCTTGAGGTCGTCCGAACACCTGCATCACACGAGCTGGTGTGCGAGCACCTGAGGAAAGGCGAGGTGTGGTTCCAGTGCCTCCACGACATCAAAGCCTACCTAAGGATGGAGATTAATCAGGCGTGGGCAACGGATGGTCTTTGGTTCCCGAGAGGACCATTCCGAGGCCGAGTCAAGCTATGGCGTCCACGTCCTGGAACATCCGATAGTCTACCTCGGGGAACCCGTTTCGATCGAGTTTGGGCAGTGCATCGCAGAGCCTGCTGCGATTCCTGACTGGAGTCAGCCGTGGTATGAACCCACTCAGTATCCATCCCGCAATCTCCACAGGAGGTAGCTAGGCCACAGACAATCGGGCTCACATAGGACAGCCAGGGGCCGGCAGCAAATGGCATTTCGTCACAGCTAGACGGGTCTAATTTCTCCATCCTCAAATACCCACCTCGGAGTGTGCTAACAGACCGATCTGAATGGACGGCAGTAGAACGCCCCACAGCATGGCTGTTTATAACGAGCTGGTCATGGTGGCTGCGACTTCACATACGCCTGGATAGCCCCTGGGACTATAACTAGGTACCTTACACACCACCAAGTTCAACGAAACTGAAACTGGCAATCCTCCTGGACGATCCCGCCACAATGTCATCCTCAGACCAAATTACCAACCACGGCCTTTGGATTGAATCCTTTTCCCAGCCTCTCAAAGTTGTGCCGCTTCCTGTCCCATCAGCAACCACCGGTTCAGTCGTTACTAAGTACCCAAGTTCTCGCATCTCCCATCCCAGCCTACGCACACCTCGTTCATAATGGCACTCTTAAGCTGCCCAACTTTCCACTGCCATGTGTGCCCAACCCCAACGGCATCGGCCGAGTTCACGCAGTCGGCAATGACGCCGTGCGTGTCTAGCCCGGTGACCTGGTCTATATTGACTCTACTGTCCGCGCGCGCGACAACCCCGATGTCATGATTATGTCTGGACACATTGGCGGCCAGCTTGATGCGGGAAAGAAGCTGATTCAGGGTGAGTGGCGGGACGGGACCCTGCAACGTTATCACAAGTCGCCCCTGGAGAACATCTACCCCCTCGACGAAAAGCGCCTGTGTGGCGAGCTCGGCTATTCGACAAGCATGCTGGCGGCCATCCCGTTCTATGCAGTCGCCGCTGGCGCTATCATTGAAGCGGCCGATGTCAAGGTCGCCGAGACTGTCATCGTTGGACCGTCCGGTGGCGCTTTTGGCGGGCTCGCTGTTGAAATCGCGCTGGCAGTCGGTGCGAACGTCATTGCTCTCGAGCGAAGCGGAGTAAAGCTTGAGACGATGAAGACAAAACTGGGAAGCCCACCGCAACTGAGTTATGTTGTCATGACGGGCGACATGGAGACCGACACTGCCGCTATTTTGCGACAAACACCCAACGGTACGGGAGCAGAAGTCTATAACGACTGGACTCCTGGCGAGCTGGCAGGGCCTGCACCTTATTTATCAGCGGCAGTGCGAGTCCTCAAGCGTGGAGGCAGGGTTGTCTTCAGCGGTGGCTCGAGCGCAAACCTGTCAGTTCCCTACGCATATGTTGGGATGCAGGATATCCAGATCAAAGGGAAATGGATGTGCAACAAGAAAACCCTGGAACAGATCATTCGCATGATTGAGCAAGCTCGGCTGAGGATCGGACTTGAAAGTGGATCTGAGCTGGCCGAATTCACACTGGACCAGCATGATGAAGCAACAGAGCACGCGAGGAAAAACGGCGGCTGGAGGAATTACACTGTCTTGTTACCAAGCAAAGATTAGAGTAGATACGCACCTCGCCTTTTCCGTTTTGCCCGCAAATCAACGTCTTATCCCGCGTGTGTTTTCATACACCTAGCATGAAGCCAAGTCATCAAGCATAGAGAAACGCAATCGTCAAGCTCATCATATTTGAGATGTGAACCAAACTATGTCTGACTTTGGGTACAGCTAATATATCATACTATATGCGGATGTTCTGCGCTAATAGATGGACTTGCTTTCCTACGCCAGATCATGACCCTCGTTATGTTGAAAGATCTCTGCTCGTTCCGTCTTAACCTTGAACCCTTATGGCGACGCACCATTGCTATTCTCCGTGGTCTGGCTAGAGACAAGGAAGACCATTCTTCCAACTTGTATTCAACACCCTTAGAAAAGTTCAACTCTGGTAGCATAAATCCCAGCCAAGGCTCTATCCACTGTTTTACTCTGCCTTCACGCAAAAAAGTGAATTAAATAGGTTGAGACTCGTATCCTAACTATATAATATTCATAAATCGTAGATTGATACCATTAAAAAGATGAGCTCATCACTGGATTTTCATATTCAAGCGTTAAATTCACCCCTCCTCATCCTGTTTATAAATACAATCGAGTTTATACACTGGCCATTTATATCCTCTATGTTCCAGAGCTATTGTAACCTGCGTTGATGGAACTTGGAAGACTGAGCATTATACTGAAAACGAGCCACCCAAACAAATGGGGGACAGGTTCTGCTAGACCCTCTTGAGGACAACTCAAGGAGGAGCTCTAACGCGATAGAGAGGAAAGATAGGAATAGAAGGGAGCCAGAGAAGGGAAAAGGCAAGTATTTTAAAAATTCTTAAAAATAAGAAAAGCTTGATCAGAGCACTGAATGTATAAGAAAAGAGAAGAGTTGATTTCTTTAAGAATGTTTAAAATGAGCGTAAAAGCTAGCTTTTTATAGCCAGCCGGAATTCAGCGCGGTACCATTTCTCACGTATTTCCCTGCCCCCGCCAACAATACTTAAACTTCTAACAACATGGACTAATTTAATTTTGTTTCATGCACATCTTTCTCGGCACTTTGGCTCTAATTTCCAGTTTAACGCATTGACTCGCCACTTTTCATGTGACCTTGCGGCCCCTCTTAGTACCTGGTTGTTAAGCGTAGCTGGGAGTGACCCAAGCTTGCAAGGGGCGCTCCCGGCTACGGTTGAGTTTAGTATGGTAAATCTGCAAAATGTTTTTCACGCAAGGATTGGTTGATTAATGTACTGCTTTATACTTATAATGTAAGGAGGCCGTGCGCCCTTTAGCCCTTTGCGCCCTATTTGCCCATTTACAGCCCTTTAACTCTTTATACCTTATTTACTTAATTTACTTTTTAGCTTTTTGCGCTTTATTTATTTATTTATAGCCTTTTAACTCTTTATATTTTATTTACTTAATTATAATTCTTTAACTCTTTATACCTTATTTATTTATTTATAATTCTTTAACTTTTTATATTTTATTTACTTAATTTATTCTTTAATTTTTAATTTTTTATTTATTTATTTATAACCATTTAATTTTTTAATTTTATTTATTTATTTATAATTTTTTAACTTTTTATACTTTATTTATTTATTTATAACCCTTTATTTTTCAATACTTATAATTAAATATAATAAAAGAGAGTTTAAAGGGTTTCTCTTAAAAATTAAAATAGCTTTTAAGGCTTTATAATAATTATAAGCCATCCCTTATAATTACCTTAGGTTTGCTCCTAGCTATGCTTATCCCTAGTGCAATTCCTTTAAGCCCCCTAGCTAGCAATATAATCACAAACCCCCCGGCTGGCTTTCTAAAAGCCAGGCAAAATTAATGCTATCCCCATAGCCTTGCAAAGGGCCGTATAGTATCGATTTTGGGGAACCGCACCCGGCTTCTAGTAGATTGGACTGTTCCATGCCACTCAAGGCTCTATTGGCCAAGAACAACTTAGCATCGCGAAAAGAAGTGTCAATTTTCAAGCTTCCTGTTGCGCGGCAGGACCATTCCGAGCTCATTGAAGCGTTCAACCGCAACAAATCCGTTGTTTTCGTATAGCCTCCGCCCAGGTGGGTCCGCAAACAGATTTATGAATGGATTCCCATCTTCAGGCTTGTTATCCTCGATGTATGCCAGTAAGTGGTGCAAGACGAAACCCCCAAGCCCCTTCCTCTGGTGCTCCGGCAGCGTTGCCATGTCTGCAATGTGAAAGTACCATCCGCCATCGCCAATGATTCTACCCATCGCAACAGCTCGAGGATGGTCATCGCCATTCTTGCGATAGGTGATGTGGCAGCCATACCAGCTGCCGGACGCCACCCGGGCAGCTTGTGCCTCGGTGACGGGAGTGAGGCCCGCTACCTTGCGGAGGTTGCGATATTCCGTAGTGGTAGGGACGGTTGGCTCCAAGCGATAGCCAAGCGGCAAATCTCCCGCAGCTGATGGTACGGGCATGATTGTGACTGTGCCAACGGCGCTTTGGCTGGCGATTAAGTCGATGGCGATGTAGGTAATGAAGCTGTCGACGATGTGTGGGCCCGCACTCGATCAATGAGTCCCCTCGCTGAGTTTGATGACAGCCCACAGATGAAGATGGAAATTGCCCAGTACGGCCGATTGGTGACAAGACAAATGCGCCCTTTAAATGATAATTCCTTCCTGAGCAGCCGTCCGGAGGGCTGTGTAAATCCGAATCGCTAGGCACTCTCACGCCGTCCTGCCGCCAGCAATGGATCAACGCCGATGCCGAGTCGGCGCTCGGCCGGAACAGGGTTGCTTACTGGCGGATTTCGTTGCTGCTCACCGACAGAGCGGCACTCGGAGCAACGTCGTGGAATAGTCGATGTTCAGATACACCAGTCACATTGAGCACACAATTCCTGTGCAACTCTTCAAGTCGGGGCGAATAAGAACTTGTCTGTACAAGACCAGCGCACATTGAGAGTCACCAGAACGATTCCGAGTCATCCTCAGCGTCTCTTCCCGGGCAGCATGCGAGCTGACATGACTGCTCGTGCACGAACAACAGTGCCCAGTTAGGCAGTACGCAGTACAGGGCATTCAGTCAGCCGGGGAATGGTCAGAGTGTGTGCGTATCACGTCTTGGTCAGATTCCCGAGGAGCGGCATTTGGTTATTTCCAGCACATACCCCAAGCTCACGGTTACCCCCAAAACAAGTTCAGCATACATACAGCATACGTATGCCTGTGTCACCTCCGACTCTTCAGCCATCCTAACCCACCCCTCCTGATGGCCATTCACGCCTTCCATGTGTCCATGTCTACATGGACGGATCACATGATGAACTCCTCCAGCCACCGCGGCCCTAGATGCCCAGTCCAAAGGCGGTATCCAGGTCAATGCAAAGTGCTCAATCCATCAGTTGGGCGTCCACAATGCCCTGGCTCTTCCATGCCTGCGCAGAGATGGCACCTCCCACCGAACACCAGTAGGCGTGGTCCCATGCACCCGTCCGAGCGCCCAAGCGTACTGCAGCCACCGCCGGGCCGATTCGGTATCATTCAGTCTTGGTGAACTGTTCTGCGGCGGCTTTGATGCCCTCTGTGAACTCGTTGACCTGGCCCTTGACCCCGTCCACCGTGACGTTGGGGTCAAACTTGAAGTACTTGCTGCCGCGCGCAAAGCCCACGAGACGTTCGTATGCCCACTCGCCGATGGCCAGGTAGATAGAGATGGCCTTGGCGCCGGTGGCGTTCTGGATCTGCTGTGTCTGGAAGGTCAAGCCGCTCCCGCGTCGAAGGCCGGCGAGGAGCGTCGAGGTGATGACCACCAGGAAGAGGGTGTTGGGGATCAGTCCGACCATTTTGAATGTACGGGGGGGGTTTGTTTGTGTGGTGTCGTGAGAGGTGCGAGGATGATGCTCAGAATAGATTGACCCAGAAACGAGTGCAAATGATGAATTGGTCTTCTTGGAGTGCTGGAGGATGGATTATTTGTAGGGGGGGACGTAGGTGGCAGAAGTTTGAGGCCCTCTTGACACGTCAAGGATTTTCGAGCACAGCCATCAGGATAAAGTGGAGCCGGGCTGTGCTGCATGTGCAGCAGGTGGGCGTTGTGCAGTTCAGAATGGGGCGGGGAGGTGCGTTGAAACCAAGTTCGCCCCGTCCGCCGAAACTCGAACCGATATCCACAAGAAGAGATCCGTGGGTACTAAGTAGGCACATGTAAAATTGTGCATGCGCAGCGGCTATACAGGTACCCTCAGCCGCCTGCAACCAGATCGTCCTAGGTCGGTTGCGGCTATTACCACAGCAGTCTAGACGCTGGACGTGGAGGTTGCCTGGACGAATAAGGTTGCCGGCAAGAGTCAGGGGTTACGATAGGCCCAATGACCAAGCGTTGGAATGGTATCCCACCCTCGCTAGCGTGTAAGGCAGAGCGATTCCCTTCATTCTGGCAATTGAGGTCAGAGGGAAGTCTGAAGGAGTGCCTGACCTGAGACTTTGCACCACTGAAACTTCAATTAAGTGAGTTTGGACTGACCACGCAATCAATTCCTGCATCTGAAATTCCCGTGCCAGCAGCCAAACGTCCCTCGCTACTAGAATCAGGAGTGACATCCACATTTAATGACATTTGATTCTCATCGAACCTGCCGTGCACTGCAGTTTGGGCTCTCCTACGCTGAAAAGAAATAAGCCGAAGATGTCTGCCTCATATGGGCCCAATCATTAGTAGGAAGGGATGTTACAAGTAACTTATGTTATGTCGCGTTGTCCTATCTCATGCCACGTGTACAGAAGATCCAGTTGGACCGTACCATTCTCCGCCTGTTAACTTGAACTTTCCAGGCACTTCTGCTTATCATGCTTTTTGCATGCACTTCCGCCTCTGCCGCGACCTGAATTACCTGGATGGATACTTGCGAAGCGCAACATGCATTCACTCATACACAAGACTCTGGAGATTTATCTTTGGCATAATTATGCCGTTTGCCGCCTGTTCGCTATTATCACTCCGTTATGCTTGCGTTGATACCCGCCTGCAAGATACATCCTCTCCCCAGGAGCAATGGAGCATTGGTTTCGATTAGTCTCGTTTGCCTCTGGAAATCCCCCCGAGTATGGGTCGCAGAAGTCATGTAATATTCCACCTGACTGCTCATGAATCGTCCATCCGGACTGGCATCAATTGATGATGAACCGATCCAGGTCAACATAACGTGATCAAATGCAGAATGGGGAACACCTTGGTGATACTTGCGAGAGCAGTACTTGTATCATCGACATATAGAATCATGGTGCTTCCTAAAACGTAGTTAGTCGGGATGTCGAATCGATCATTTGCCTCATTCAATTGACTGACCACTCTGCACAATTGCGGGGACTTGGAGTTCCGTTGTAGCAAGTCATATTCACGGCTCACATGACGGCAAGGACCACTACTACAGCGGTAGATAATCCCTAGGGATTCACACGCAGCCTGACATAATTCTCACCACTGTCCTGAGCGCATGAGTACCGACTGAAATTCTCCATCGTAGACGGAGGGGCCGGGCTTACGGGAAACGCCTTCAGACCACAACATGTACCTGTTGGAATATTCTAGAAATCTAGGCTATTATTAATACGGGATATCCTTTTCCCCATACGTTTGTCACTGTATGGAGGATAATAACTATAAATAAGGGCCTTCCCTCCCGTAGAATAGACGTTAGCTAGCCTAATAGACTAAGCATCCAACGCTATTATTTGAGAGTACCCCCATACAGAACACTCAGCAACAAAAGTAATAGGTAAATTAGCTTGGGGTTGAACCCGGCTCCAATTAGCAGGCAACATACATCGCCGTTATTCAATTCATTGAGCTTTCAACCTCAACCAGGTTTGTTAGCCACTGGAATTTTGAGGACATAAGTTACACTTGGGCGACCTTTAATTTTGGATCCCTACCAGCGTTGCACTCTGGAGAATTCAATGCGTTCGCAATAGTTGGGCAGGAAGTGGCAACAATGACCTGACATGAATTATCAGTGACCGATTGACCAAGGAACTCAGGAGACCTGCCTGGGTGCGTAGTAAAATAAAACTCACAATGGGGCAGTGTCTGTGGTCGACAAGCAACGCACTTGACTGGTAGCTCGATTTATAAGCTCCACGGATATCTCCGTGTACTGTTGTGTAGTGTTGTTCAGGTGTGCAAGGTTTTGAGCACCGTTTGGAAAGCAAACAGCGCACATTTCACTTGCCCTGTCACTTGAGCAGCAAACACTGTAAGACGGCTGACCAATGACTCGATTTAGAGCTAAGCACGTTGTTTGATAAGGAAGCGGTGAACAGGCAAATTACGCCACGATCCGCTTGTCCAAAACGGACAGAAAATTTTCTTAGTCTCGGGCTTCTCATCTCAGTACGGTCCGGAATGCTTCACCACGTCAACCTGTGTTCATCCAACCCCCCAACCAGGCCAACACGACCTGCACGACAACACTATGCAATAACACCAAAAGACAAAATCCGAGGCGCAGTGCCCACCTTCCCTTTCTGCCCTGCCCCGAATTACATCTCGGTTGCAAAACACCAGCCAGGTCACGGGTCGTAGATTCCGGGCCGAGTGACGGCATCCCGTTCGGGAGCATGGCCACCCTTTCACAGGCACCACAGTCCCACCTCTTCAGCATCCAGGAGACCCCAGGCGCTGGTAGAGGCGTCTTCGCAGAACAGGACATTGTCAAGGGGACGGTGGTCTACGTCGCTGACGATCTTTCGGCGCACGTTCTCTTCAGGGAGTACCGAAACGAGGTGTGCTGGCAGTGCTTTTGGTACGACCGTGGCAGGAAACTGCCAATCCGTGATGCCGATCACGGTGTGGCATTCTGTTCGGAACGCTGTCAGACGGGGTGGAATGGACGGCACGATCTGGACTGCCTGCAGGCATGGCGCCAGCTCGAGGCACAGGTCAAGAGGTCGGGGTCAAATACGGACGAGTTCGAGGGCGCGGTAAGACCTTCCCCGTCAGAGATCGAAAGCAAATGGAAGGGGGCCGAGCAGTCCGTGAGACTGCTCCGTGGCGCACCACAGCAGCGCCGATCGAAGAAAGAGCTCGCCAGGCTGGTGGCAGCATCGGTAGATGCAGGTCGGTTCTCAGCAGACGTCGTCTCGTTCCAGTTCAACGCCGTCATGGCCCAGCACATCGACCCGGAGCAGTGGCCGGCCATCCTGGCGCTCGAGGAAGACGCCCGCCCGTACAGCTCGACCACGGACCTAGAGAGACACATTGCGTCGTACTACTTCCTGGCGCTCGTACTCCCAGAGAAGCTCGCCCAGCTCGCGAGCGCAGAGATGTTGGGCACAGTCAAGGGCCGCGAGGTGCGCAACAGCTTTGGCATCCGGTCGCTGGACGACGAGGGGAGCGAGTTCTTTGGATGGGGCGTGTGGCCTTCCGCGTCCTACTTCAACCACAACTGTGACCCGAACACGGACAAGGAGAGGGTTGGGAGGACGTGGGTGTTCCGGGCCAAGAGGGACATTGCGGCTGGCGAGGAGATCTGCATCTCGTACCTGGGCAATGACATGGGCATCCTCCGCGAGGAACGCAGTGCGCTGTTGAACAAGACGTGGGGGTTTGACTGTATCTGTCGACGATGCAGAGGCGACGACAGGTAGACAGACACACGACATAGTCCAAATGAAATTCACAGCAACACCAAGCGCTTGGCCAACGACTGCGTACTACCCAGGTACGAAGTAGCAGGGACGAACCGACTTCATTTTCGCGATCACATTGATGTCTTTCTGGACTGTCCTACGGGAGCCCCGTTACTATGTACCTAGGTACGTATCTACCACAGCCAAGTCGCCTAGGTGTGTGCACTGCCTAACGTGTCCTAGATCATAGGCATGAGCTAACCATTGTGATCCTTGCGGGCTGGAGGTGTTGATGGTGATGATCCAATGACATCACACAAAAGCAGCTAATAACGTCGTCGACGCGTCGACCTGCACCTGCCCTTTCATACCACTTGCACCTGCACTTGCACGTCCAGACCAGACCGTGTCGAGCTCCAAATTCGCCCTTCTTCCGACCAAACAACAATTCCAAGACGCATCACAGCCGCAACTCTCTCCCTCTCCCTCTCCCTCTCCAATCAGCCAGCAGGTCTACAAGCAGATCACTCATTTGTTAACAACACCGGTTCCCATCCGCCAGCAGCACATCTCCGCCATGACCAATTCCAACGAAGCCACCACCGGCGAAAAGCGCAAGCCGGACGATGACGCCCAACCCCGCCCCGCAAAGGCCCAGAAGGTGGACGACAAGGTGCAGACAACCTTGGACGACACTGTGACGAGGCAAGTCCTAGTTGCCCTCCGCCTCACCATCTCGATGCTGACCCATTGCCGTCGCCAACAGTGACAAGCAGAGCGGATCCGGAGCGGCTAGCAGCAACGACAAGACGGGAAAGCAACATGACAACCCACCCGAGCCCGGGGCTGATCCCAAGTCCAACGACAAGAGTTCCAGCCAACACGAAACTGCTGTTGAGCCCCACGGCCGCGAAGGGGCCACGCCGTCCAATATACTCGAGAAAGGTAGGCGTCGCCGCAACATTGTCTCTACGGCTACCTAACTGCTGCCCGAATGGGAGCGCCAGGAGAGCCAATGCGCTGATGTACCCATCATAGGCATCATCTATTTCTTCCTCCGTGGCCGCGTCGGCATCGACCACCCAGAGCAGGTCTCCGACATTGCACGCACCTTCATCCTTCTCCGCCCTATCCCAACAGACGCCAAGCTCGGCGACGGCCCCATTGGCGACGCTGGCAACTCTCGCCTCATCGCCATCCCAAAGAAGAAACTTCCCAAGACCGGACGGGACCGCTGGATCGCCTTCGTGGAGAAGACCAACGCGAGCTTTGACGACTTGAAAAATGATTTTCTCCCAGCCAATGACTACGACACCAAGACGGCTGGTGTCAGACACTCGCCACCAGCTGTCCCGCTCGGCCAGGGTGTCTATGCTTTGACCACGACCGGACGTGAAAGCCACCTTGCCTACATGATTACCCTCCCTTACGAGCTGGGAGAGGTGCAGACAACCATCGGCCTCAAGGAGAAGGGCAGCTGGATACTCAGTACCAGGAACCCCCAGTACCCTGCGCCGAGCAATACTGGACTGCCCGAGAGCCCGGAATATTCCCACGAGGTAAGAGATCGACGACTTTCATTGGCATGCGCATCCGAGCTGACACTATCTGCTATCTTCAGATTCTAGACGAGTTTCGTTCCCTGCGATGGATGGGAACAGTGCCCAAACACCTCGTACTCAACGCTCAGTTCCTCCTTGTGGGTGAGTCGTCTGGAATCCAAAAGGCCATGGAGCCAGACGAAGAGGACAAGGACGACAAAGACGCGAATGAGCCTGTAGAGGAGATGGAGGAGCTGGAGCACGAAGATGTCAAGCGCATGGAACATCTCGGTAAGACAGACTCGGACGCAATCTTCCTCGATCTCGAGGCGTATGCAAGGGATCGCCCGCAACTGCAGACTGAGTTCTAGCCTGGTTCTGTCTATCTGTCGACGAGAAGGTTCACCACGCCCGAATTGGATCAGATCCTGGACGACTAGGACGCTCCATACCAGCCTGATCCGTTCAGCAACCTCGGAGAAGATGATGAACTCTTCGGCGCACCGTTGGGCTGGGTCCCGATGTCGGGGGCCTACTCGTTGCCTGATCCAGCATACACATGGACATCTGATGACCGCAGCCTTATTGAGGTTCTGGGAGGTGTCATCGAGGACGGCAAATTGAGATTCCCGTCCCCGGATCCAGGGGAAATCCCGGATTCAGAACATGCTCAGCTAGAGGCCTCAGAAAATGCCCAGGCTCCAGAGTATGCCCAGGCTCCAGAATATCCCCAAGCTTTAGAATATGCACAGGCTTTAGAAGATTCCCAGGTTTTAGAAGATTCCCGGGTTTTAGAGCATGCCCTAGCTTTACAACATGCCCAGGTTCCAGAAGATGCACAGGCTTCAGAAGATGCACAGGCTTCAGAAGATGCTCAGGCTTCAGAGCATGTCCATATCTCAGGAGATTCTCAGGGCTCAGGAGATTCCCAGGGTTCAGGAGATGCCCTCAGTTCAGGATATCCCCTCAGTTCAGGAGATACCCGCAGTTCAGGAGATGCCCTCAGTTCAGGATATGCACTCCCTTCAGGATATGCCCTCCCTTCAGGAGATGCCCTCAGTTCAAGAGATGCCCTCAGTTCAGGAGATACGGTCAGTTCAGGAGATGCCCTGGGTTCAGAAGATGCCCAGGGCTCACAAGATGCTCAGGGCTCACAAGATGCTCAGGGCTCACAAGATGCTCAGGGCTCACAAGATGGCCAAAGCAGCAGCAGTATCGATCCAATCGAAGTCCCGCAACTACCTGACCATCCTTCGGCTTGTTGGCCTATCTGATCCCGGGCTCGTCGAAGAGCTGGGAGGAACGTTCATTAACGGCATAGCCTATTGCCCACTCGATACTTGAGGGTGAGATTGACTGAAAACGATATTTCGGACAGTATTGTTATGGAAATTGAGAAATACACGAGTACACCAATCGATGAAGGCGTTCAGGGCAAGAACGTGCCCGCTTGCAGAAAGACCTACCTAGGTAGTCAAGAGGACGGACCTAGGGAGATGGATTACCCGGAAAGAGCTTGAATAGGTAGCTACCTAGGTATCATGAAGCCAGGGGCTTTCGACCGTTCCAAACTCGATACGAGCGATTATTCACAAGGTAGCCAGCCTTCAGCCTTGGCCTAGATGTGTCAAACCGGACCCATTCCACAAGCCGACAAATGGTCTTGCCTCGCTTTCCACGTTCATCATTGGCATGCTTTTCAAATGGCAAACAGCACTCCTCCGATCAGGATAGCTGCGAAGGACTTGAGCCCATGGGTGGGTTTCGGCGCGCTGTTTGTTTCTACCGGGGGCCTGGTCCCATTCATTGTCCCGTTCGGGGACAGTGTACCAAGAGGGATCACGCTGACACCGCTAGAACCTCCACTCCCAGAGCCACGATTGCCATCACCCGTGCTGCTGTTGGAGGCACTGGAGGCATTACTACCGCCCGACCCATGTGTTTCGATGATGATTATCGCCGCATCACTCCCATTGGAGCCTGAGCTGCCACCCCCCGGGACTGAGGGCGCGGCAGCAGCGCCAGCTGACGACCCCAACACAGCGAGCGTGGGGTCGATCCTCGTCCCATTGGCGAAGGCCGGCAAGGTCTGGCCCTCGCCCAGCCCCAGATTGATTCGCTTCGCGAGGTTTGTCGTCAACGAAAGGCACCTCTGGCGCTGGTTCATGGGAGGCTCGCCGATGGGCACCTCTCCGGCCGCCGCGCCCATCTTCTCCATGCTCGCGGCCGCGTTATCGAGCACGATACGGTTGGGGTTTTCGACGGTCCAGGCAGCCCACTCCGGAGTGCCTGCGAGCCGGAAGGTGTTCGGGTTGAGGCTGCGGACGAACGAGATCCAGTACGCCTGCGCAATCTCGGCGCCGGTGGCGCACGACAGGGGGTCCGTCGAGTTGAGCTTGATACAACCCGGGTCACCGCCGTCGGTGTTGTTGTTGCCCCAAACGGAATACAGCTCGCTGACGTGCGGCGAGAACAGGCCCTTGTCGGCGTTCCCGCCCGCCGTCTCGTCGAGTATGTTGTACCTATACGCATAGTTCTGTGTCTGTCCAACACTGGAATACATGTCGCTCAGGAAGGCCGCCACGCAGTGTTCCTTGAGCTCTGTCTTGATGGCCGCATCACGCTGCCACTGAGCGCCGCTGCCCTCACGTAATGAAGCATTGCGAGCAATCATGTCGCGCCCGAAGACCGACACATTGTTGAGAGACTCCGGGTACGCTGCCATCACGGCCGCGAGCTCGGCATCTGTCATTGACTTCCCGACGGTCTTGAGTATGTCGGCGCCGACGTCCTCGGTGGTGTTAACGGTTTGATTCGAGATGAAGTTCGGCGTGGCCTCGTCGCTTGCGTAACCGTATATCACAGGTAGGTTCTGGAAGCGGCCCTGTTCGAACATCTGGTAGTGAGGCGCCGTGATGAGCTTGCCCTCAACGGTGGGACCCCATCCGTCCTTGGTCGTCTTGTTCTGGAACTCCGCAATGGGCATCATGCGCATGCAGTCGATCGGGTCCGTCGCGTTAAGGCAGCCTGTTGCGTTGAGGTTGTTGTTGAGTGCTTGGTCACGGTCTGCCGAAAAACCTTCACTACCCCAGCCAGGGCTCTCGGCAATGGCACCCACGAAGAGATCCGGGAACCCGGTGCCGTTGTTGGCGGCGAGGAGTTCGTCGATCGCGTTGCCTCCGGAAGACGCTCCCGAGACGACGATGTGGTTCGGGTTGCCGCCGAATTTCGTAGCATGTTGCTGCATCCAGCGCGCAGCGGCGACCACTGTGATGACAAGTCAGCTTGCACGAACAAATCTGAGCGCGAGGAAGACGCACTGTCGTTAAGCCCGTTGTTGGCCACCGCGCCCTTTGTGTCAGCCTCGACAAGTGTCCCCCCGATGAAGCCCAGTATGCCCACCCGGTAGTTTGCCCGGATCACAATCATGTTTCCCCCGCTGGCCTCCACCAACCCGGTACCGTTGAAGTTTCCGTTCGAGTTGGAGGTGAACCCTCCGCCAGAGATAAACATCAGGATCGGCAGCATGCTCTGGTCAGTGGCATTGGCCGGGGCGTACACAGCGGCGAAAAGACAATCTTCGGCCATGGGCTGGCGCTCGGAATCGAACTGCAGGCCTTCCTGGTTGTTGGCCGAAACACACAAGGTGCCTTCTTTGGTTGCGTCCTGAACGTCGCTCTCGTCAAGCGGCGGCTGGGGGGCTGAGAACCGCAGAGGCGGGACTGACGGTGCTGCGAAGCGCATCCCGAGCCATTGGTTGACTCCGGCACCTACTGTGGTGCCCTGGTATTTGGCGTATCCAAGATCGACTGCTCACTGTCAGAGTCGGCTCAGGCAGGATGCTGAAGATCGTAGCATCAAGTGCTTGAGGGGAACTCACCCAGAGTGTCAACAGCCGTGACGGCTGCCACCAGGCCTAGCAAACTGATTAGATGCATCGTGAGATTAATTACAAAATTCACAATATCAATGAACGGAAGTCGGGGCTTTGCCCTTTGGTGAACGAACGAATAAGAGCCTCCTGGGCGAGAAAAAGAAAGGCGCTTCAGTCAATGATCGCGGTATCCCGACCAGCACGAGGAAATAGGGACTAACGAGAAAACGGAAAGAAAATAACAAGAGGTGAGGAGGCACAGGGCCATCATATGTTCAGTGTGGTAGGGCTTGTCATGCATGGTACCACTGTCATCACTGTCAATCCACGACTAAGTATTGCAACCTTAATCAAGGGTCTTGCCTCGGCAGGGATGGACTGCAATCAGGTTGTTCGAGAACACCGCGCGCTGTGCCGTCGGGAGCGCAGCAGGGGGCACGGGGCAAGCTGCGTTCCAGACCAAATTCAACTCGCCAGAAAGCTTAAGTGAGGAGAAACTGTTTGATGTTGTAGCACAGTATGGAAGCAGCTGAGCCACCTCCGCAACCATCGCGGGGTGCAGGTGCTGTCTCATATTTCAGGGGCTTGCTATGCGGCTCCCAACTGCTAGTCATTGGAGTTTAGACTCTTGGCCAAGCCGGCTTTCTCGTCTCATGTTGCATCATCCGAAAAGACTAAATGCCCTGTGGGCCCATCCCGCATCTTCGGAAAGAACCAGTGTTGGTCGGTGATGAACGAATCGTGCTGATCATACGTGGCGTCAAGTGGTCACTGCATGGGTCGACCCAGGCTTTGTGTCCAGCATTTAATGAGACAATGCTTCAACAGTTTTCCGCCCGAAGCATGCAGTGCACTGGGGGTGTGTTAGCCACGTGGTTGCCCTTGTCTCAACGCATCTACGACATTGCCTAGAGAAGCGGAGAGATTATCCAAGTAGGACATCAACGGCCCCAGAGGAGACGACATGCCTCTCACGACATCTCTGTCTTGCTGACCAATGGCGGTGTAGCATTTGCTGTGTTGGCATCATTTCAAGCCGTGCAAGGGCATCTGATTGTTATGAGCTAACTCCTCCTCATTCTGGATATTCAAACATGGCGCGGTCCGCAATGATAAGACAGTTTGAAATCTCACTTTGAATCTCTTGCCAGGTTTGCATATCAATGATTTGCGCCCCTTGCTCTCAGTGAGAGATAGAAGCCAGAAATTCGTCAGTCTTCTTGTCCAGATCTTCACTTTGTTCTCGAGAGATTCCTTCAAACACATGGTCCACGCCTTCCACGGGGTGAAGCGTCACTGGTACACCCGCTTCCTTCAAAGCCTCGTGGAGCAGGACTGATTGATGGTATGGCACAACGCGATCATTGACGCCATGTGCAATGAAAAATGGCGGGACAGTTTTCGCCTTAGCCGCTGAAAGGTAGGTAATGGGGTTCGCCCTCACCGACTTCTCCGGTTCATTCTGGATTCCATCCACCGCGCCCACATATAAGGACTCCGGGCTCCCGGGTGGGTCATGTTTCTGCTTGTTCCCACCTGCCGGGGCATGGGCATCCATCTGCAGGAAGTCTGACGGGCCGTAATAGTCGACAACGCCCTGGACGGCACTAGACTGACCCAGGTGGTCGCCAACATCGAGCTCGTCGCCTACGCCGGCTGGAGAAGTAACGCCCAGAAATGAGGCATGGTGCGCACCCGCGGACTCTCCGAAGGCGACAAACCGACCCGGGTCGAGCCGGTACTCCGCTGCATGGGCGCGCAGCCACCTGACAGCTGCTTTGCAGTCCTCTACGGCGGCGGGGAAAACGGCATCGCCGCTGAGGCGGTGGTCGAGGCTGGCAATGGCGTAACCCTTCGAGACGAGGCGGGATGGCATCCAAGGAGATTCTTTCGAGCCAAATTTGAATGCGCCACCTGCAGACATGGCTTAGTGATAACGCGACTTGGTCGAGTTCTTAAGAGCTTAGACATTGGCCCACCGTGCATGTAGACAATGAGGGGCAGCGGGCTGCCGCCGAGCGTTCCGTTCTTGGGCAGGTAGAGATCCAACCTCTGACGGACATGGCCGTGGGAGGAGTATTGGATATCTTTAAACGTCTCGGCGTCCTCCGGCGGAATGAAAGGGGGAGGCTTGAAATTTCTCACAAAATCCGATTCCAGGTCCCCGGCCATCTTTTCTTGCAGCAGGAACTTTTCAATCTATGCAAGAGACATGCGGTGGTTTGACGAGGTGTGCAAGACGGCACCCGAAACTCCAAAGGGGGGCCTCCGGTTTTATGATCGGAGCTTGACTTAACCAATGGTCACCCAAGACTTCTAAATCCGAGCAAGCTAAGGGCATTAGTATTGAACTGCCGAGACCTTAATCCGGGCGCACCATCGGCCCTGGTCCTTCTCAACACCTCACCAATTAACACGACTTCCAGAAAGTTGAACACGGCGAATGGTAAATTATGGATTATCACAGGCCATGTGGTACCATGTAGATAATTCAACGCCACATTTGCCCATTAATGTGATCTTGTCCCTCCTGGTGTGTCCTCTAAGTCGATGGCAACGGTCAACCAGTCGGATCACTGCTCGCTGAACAATGAAAATTACAATTCTATTTCTATGGTTGTGGTAATTATATATTTCTCTGCATTGCTGATGACGAACCAGTGGGCACTGGTTCCAGCCACTTACGCAGACCAGCAATAGTCTGCCAGGCAAGCCTCGCACCCGCTGGGTAGATTCGATTTCCCAACCTCCTTGAGCATGATTCCGCAAGCAAGACAGGCCCCCCACGATTCATCGTTGCCCTGTGTCGCAACTTCATTGCCGTTCGAGATCATGGAATTCGTCTCGTCCGAGGTGTACGTCAGTTTCAATGTGGCCGTGTTGGAGGCATACGTCCACTCCGAGTTTGGCAGGTATACGACGGTGACGGCGTCTGGCTCGTCGCAGCCAAAGAACTGTGCTCGAGAAGTGCTGAAATCGCCGGCAGCAGGAACAGCGGGGAAGCGGCCAGCCAGGCGGCCAGTTCGTGTGGCCTCGTATGCAGCAACAACTTGAGTCCCGTCGGGGAAGCCACCCTCGTCATTGGAATTGTCGTTGACGATGATAACGCTCACGTTACGTGTTGGCTCGAGAAGGGGCAGTAAAGGGACCTGTGGCGGGAGCATGTCAGTTTCGCGGCTGTTTAAATATTCAAGAGCGCTTGCCCCTGGGGTGTGTACGTACATTATGATCGGCTTCGCCACCATCGACAAGGTGCAAGTTGTTGGAGCTGGATATGGTACTGGGCTTGGTGGCGGTCGTCGAGTTGAACCCCTTGAAAGGATTGGGCAGCAATGAGTAGCCATACTCATCAGCAGAAGTGAACTTCTCGACGACTGTGATCATGCTGCTGGGGAACAGAGTAGTTACATCCACGCCGAGGCTTGCGTTGCAGATGTACTCATTCAGGAGCATGGAAGACGTTCCCAGGACCCAATCAATATTGTCGAACCCCGTAACGCACTGAGAAGCAGAGCCCGCGGTGATGTTGCTGCCCAGGTATTCAGACTGGACGAAGGCGGAAATATCGTCAGACCAGGATCCAAACTCGAATGGGTTGAACTCGTAGACAGCACCATCTGCAGGCGGCTCACATTCTCCACTGGCAGGAGTGATCTTGGAGGCGGTCACTATTGGGAATGGAGCGTTAAACGACGTGAAGGTTGGCAGAGAGCTTATGTCCGACATTGTGAAGTCGACTGCGCCCTCGCTGCCAGACATGATCTGGTAAGAGAGCATCCGTCCCCAAGGGTCGGTCAGCGACACTGGGAAGCCAGCAGAGCCTTTTGCTATGATGTCCGCAGCGATCTGTTGGTAGTCGCCCACTGTCGTAGCGCTACTTGCGTTCAAAATTCCTCCCGCGAACTGTGCATCCCACACGCTGTCGCGGAGGGTGGAAATCGTGGGCCAGTTGCCCGCAGCAATGGCACTCAGCAGCCAGGCACCACCTGAGAGGCCTGCATGGTACGTCAGAGCCTGGTACAGACCGGTCGTACTGGAATCGCTATCCCGACCGTCCAAGGCCTGAACCACACCGGCGCCGGTGAGCAGGGATCTGAATCCACCGCCGGACACCGAGAGGGCCAGTGTCGGCAAGCTGGAAGTGTCCACGTCGGGCAGAGCGGTCTCAAGCCAGCTCTTGAGTGCTGAGTCTGTCACACCCTTGCGCTCGGCGGCCCAGGCTGCTTCCGAGTCCGAGATGCCATCGGCGGACCGCACGAGGCTGCCAGAGGGGCAGGTGCTGGATGCAGGCGCATATGCAGAAGCCGCAAGAGCGCCCACGGGGCCAAGTGCCAAGATGATATGAGACAGCATTATGGTATAAATATTGATACAGGTAACGCGCAAAGCACGGTGGAAAAGAGTGACGTGAAGGAATGAACGTTGGGAACGACAGACAGCACAGGCACCGAGCCTAAGTTACCACGCGTATGGCCAGTTGGAGTGGATGGGTTGAAGGCTGGGACTGAGGACGAGGGCAGGCAATTGTGTGGTTTGGGTTTCGTCCACTTGTTATACGGAAAATGTCCGTCTTCACTGACGCGGCGCATTCCGTCAACCATGTGATGCATGCAGGCAGCCAGCATCGCAGGTGGGGTGCAGGCCAGTCAAGGTGAAGTGGCCCAGATATCGCGAGATAAAGTAAGGGATGCTCGCGGGGCTGCTTCTGGATCCGGGATCTCTTGGTCCAGTCTATCGGCTCTCAATCTCCGGGAGCAGCGGAAAGCAGACGAAATGTGCCATCGGCAGCACTCCACCCTCTGCTGTGGACCCGACTAGTGCACCGGTGAGGTCGAATTACGACTGGCTGACTCGCAGAAAAAGAGGACCGGCAATGCGCCTGGAGGCACAGTAGGGACAGGTTCCGTTCGCATTCCATTGGCAGTCCCCCAGTTCCGCAAGTCTGCGATCAGCAACGGGAGATCATCAGGTTTAACCCATCCCATGAAGTTGCGACGGCAGGACGGCAAGCTGTGACGAGCTTGCTCAAGAATTTCATGACTCTCGGCGAACCGGCAGCGTTCAGCTTCAAGACTGGATATAAGAGTCTGTCATTTGCACGCACTGTACAATATGCATGGCCAAGCTCTATTTTCAGCCGACTGAATCCTCGCTTAATCCTCCCGCCAGTAGCTGCCCACCGGAGGAGGCTGTGAGTGTTTTATCGACTTGAGAGAGGGTTCCTTGTATCTCGTTATCATAATAATAGTCCAAATTACTCCGAATTCTGACAGTTTAACGGTCTGCGCCCGAGGACCTAGTCAGAGACGCTATCTCTGCCAGTGTGTCTCTATGCATGAAGCGACTGAACAACGGTTGCTTGTCCACGAGGACGGGGCAAAGAGGGGATGAGGAAGAGCTATATGGATAAGGCCGATGTGGTCTTCCCTTTTTTTTTTTTTTTTTTTTTTTTTTTTTTTTTTTTTTTTTTTTTTTTTTTTTTTTTTTTTTTTTTTTTTTTTTTTTTTTTTTTTTTTTTTTTTTTTTTCTTTCGCTCTGTCAATTCCATGTGGGGACACACGTGCCGCTGTCTCTCGTTTCTGGCCGGCTGTTTCTTATCCGCCGCAATGTTGTGCCGGCGCTCAGCCCTCGTCCTGCCTACAATTTCGTAGAAAGCCTTTTCACGGATGAAATGCCTTAGTAGTAGTAACATCTAGGCAGGTGTAATGTTTCCTTCCCATTGAAAACATGCTAAAATCTAGGTTTGGAGTTGATGCGGCCCAGGTATTATGTGGGTTTGGGACGCTCTACTTTATCAAGCCGGTCCTCCTAGCATGCATCCTCCACATGGCTTGCAGCGTGGTCTAGGTGCAGAGGGTAGCTAGATGGTTTTATGGTTTACCTGGCTTCACCGATGTTGTTAACCGCCGGTTCTTCCCATCCCTTGCTCCACCGTTCGATCATTGACAGGAGTTTAGTCTTTAAGGTTTGTCCTTATCGCCGATGTGGCCGACTACGTCATGAACATCCCCTCACCAGACAGATTATCTATTGGGTGACCTGCCGCAAGCCGAGCCTCGATTCAACCCCGTCTGGAAATACTGCGGACCGCACCGTTTCTGTGCCTTCCCCCACACTTGCTGCCACAACCTTGGAATCAAAAGTGAAATCTGAAATCAGCCACCTTGAGACATCACGAGCCACCGCCATGGATGCACGCGTGCCTGAACAAATGCTGGCCATCCAGGCAAGTGACGGGATCATTTCCCATTCGAGACATGCCAGCTCACGGCACTAACACGCAACACAAGGTCGTCGAGTACAACAAGCCTTACCAGGTCAACAAGATCCGGACCCCAGACCCTTCCGGCCTCGGCCCCTACGACCTCCTCGTCAAGGTTGCTGTGGCGTCGTACTGCCACACGGACAGCATGATACAGTCTGGGATTTTCGGCACCGCCCTCCCTGTCATCGCTTCTCATGAGGGCGCCGGCACTGTTGTAGCTGCCGGCTCGTCCTCGGAATTGAAGCCAGGCGACCGCGTCATGTGTGGTCTACCTTTCCATCCATGTGGCAAATGTCCTGAATGCACTGGCCCGAACGAGGGCTGGAGACAGTACTGTGAGAGCGTCGAAGGCCATTGTGGCGTCCATCGCGATGGGTTCTTCGCCGAGTATGCTCTCTGCGATGCACGCACTAGCACCAAACTTCCCAACGAAATTTCTCTCTTGAGCGCTGCTCCACTAGCCTGTGCCGGGAGGACAGTATGGAGGGGTGTTGAGCAGGCAGGCCTCAAGGAGGGACAGTGGCTCGCAATCGTGGGGAGCGGAGGCGGCTTGGGACATCTTGGGGTGCAATTTGCCAAAAAGAAGGGTCTGAAAGTCATAGGTATCGATGCGAGGGACGATGGACTACAGGTTTCTGCGGCTCTCGGCGCCGACTTCGTCATCGATGCAAGAAAGGGAGAGGCGGCGGTGGTCGGGGAGGTTCACAAAGCTACTCGCGATGCAAACCCCGGGAATCCGGGCGTCGATGCCACCGTCACTCTCTCCGATGCTCCCACGGCTGCAGCGCTGGGCTGTGCAATCACCAAGAGGCACGCGACTATGGTCCAAATCGCTCAGCCAAAGGATGTCGTGATCCCTTTCAGCCAATTCGTCTTCCGGGATGTCACGGTCAAAGGAAGCGTAGTCAGCTCTCCGGGGGAGAGCAATGCCATGGTCAGTACTTTCAACAGTTTCTTTTTGACTTGGAGGGTGCCACTCAAGACAAGTACGGCGAGCGAAGAATTGCTCTGACAAAATCCTAGGTCCGCTTCATTGCAGAAACCGGCATCAAGGTCAAAACTAACATCTTCTACGGCCTGGACCAAATCGAGAAGTTGATTGACATGGTTCACGGTGGAAAGATACAGGGTAAAGCGGTTATTGTCATTGACAAGGAGCAGATTGCCAAGGAAGAGCAGCTTGGAGCCAAATACTAGAAGAGCAAATAAAGGATAGTATCAACACCCTCGTTAAAATCCAACCTTGTCTTGTTCTTGAACTCCCTTGCCACTCCTATGAGAACTTCTCAGTAAATGCGTCTTGTTTCAGCCGTGGAGAAGCTACCATGATATTTCTGTTACACTAAATGTATCTGGACAATCTGACGTATCAGGAACCCCACGTGAGAACTTGGCCCGGCTGAAGACGACGTACAAACTGTAGACCCACTGCAAATTCAATGATACCTGTCAACCAACATTGTAGTGGCATGGGAGACCAGTCACATGAGGACCTTCTGAATTGTAGCCAGACACAAATCACAGACACCTTAGCGGGAGTTGTATGTGTAGACCCGACGATTCATGAGCTAAGTTGACTTGTAATTTGAATACCATGCCTTGTTTCTCGTAATAATGACAGTACTAGGGTATCTCCCTCCCTCAGCGACGACAAAAATCAAACTTGGTGCATATTGCCCATACAATGGACAGATATTGACACCCGCGTCATGGTATTAAAACTAAACTTGACTCCAATTACCACTATTCACCATTATCTCATTACGATCCTTGTCATCATCTCTCCCCAGTCATAGCCTTCCATAAAGGACCAGCTGACGACCCCCCCTCACCCCCGAACTGGGCTTGCTATTGATTCAGAGCTCATTGTAAGAGCCAATGTTTACACATTAGCAGTGGTTCCGTTGTTGCCCGTGGTAGCGGGCCCTTCAGGGTGCACAAGACCCTTCTCGCTCCTGCGCTGGCCGGGCTCGTGCATGGTGAGACCAAGCTGGGCGGGGTCGATCTTGTTGTGGCCGAAGATGAGCAAGAAGCCGAAGACGGGCTTCGCGAAGATGTCGAGGATGCCGTAAAAAATTGCCTCGGAGTCGGGGTGGATGACGTTTCCGCCCTCGGACAGGCCCCAGGCGATCGGGTACAAGAACCACAGGAAGAGGGTCAGCACGCCACACTGCATGAAGGTGCTCTTGACGGAGCCTCCGTGGGCATTTGCGTGGCGACGGCCGTCGATGGCAAGCTCGTAGGCGACAAAGAAGAGGGCGGCCGTGCCGAAGGCGAAGTACCCCCACTTGTAGGTCGTCTGGGTCAGGGCGCCGACCAGTCCACAGACGATCATGATCTCGTCCGCCAGAACTGTGACCAAGATGGTGGGCCAGGGGAGTCCGGCGGTCAGGAGTAGGTCTGTAAGGAGCAGCGGTGTCGTCACGAACCAGTCGATGTACCGGACGTAGAACATCTCTCGGGTCCCTGCGGCGGCAACCGCAGCGCGGCCTGGCCTCACGAACTCGGCCTGGATGGGGGCCTGGCCAAGGTCGGAGGCCATGGACCAGTACGCAATACAGGCGACAGCAGTGATTCCGGCGGTGATGTAGTGGAACAGGCGATGGGTTTGCGGCTTAGTGAAGGCAAGGCCCATGAAGGCGAGGGTGGAGGCACCCATGACGGCGCACACGGTGAAGTACCAATCTGAGCCGCGGACAGAAATGGCGAGGGCGCCGTGAGTCGCCACGGCGCTGTTAACGTTGAGCGCCTGATTCCCAGCCATGATGAGGGACGTGAGTATGATCGAGACTGGGTGTGATGGCTACTTGGTAAAGATTTGAGGTGAACTGGGGCGAGTGTCGTAATAGCACTCTGATATCACAGATATCTTTCTAACTTTTGGGGTATCAAAGCCAAAACAAGCTGATGCTGGTGATTTCTCAGTGGATGAGAAGGGGGCCAGGCAGGGTATTTGAATCTCAGGGAGGAGGGGCGGTGGCTCAAGGGTGCTCGTAGGGCGTCATGAGATCATCCATGGGATTCTAGCAAGATTGTCTCTATGACCTATCGAGTACATGAGGTGTGACCGGGACAATTACCGCTTCTCCTTAGCAAGTTGCACGCGAAGGGCGGGTCGCTCGGATGCTCCATGACGTCTTGGCACGTATGTTGAACTGGAGGACGAGTGAACCAGTGACCGGGACGTGGACCGCACTAGCCAGCCGACAGAGATGTATCACCACTACTGTTGATGTGGCACCGAGGCCGAAGCCGCGAGGGCTAATTGTCCAATCATCCAGACCTGCAGCTCTGGGTTGGTGTTCTGAGTCGCGCGTCGACGTGTACTGCGTATACCTAGTCTATGTAGTATTTTGTGTCCACGGGTGCATATGCTCACCTCCTGAACTGGTGGTCTTGAAACATCAAGAGACAGATCAGCAAGGACCTCCAGGATATAAAAGTTCAGGGCCATCGCCTGTGATTCGTCTGCCGTCTGCCATGCATATGGTTCGGAGTCTATTATATGACAAGAGTAGCACTGGCATGGTGCTCAAAACGCCAAGGTTGGGATGGACGGTGACCTAGTCACAGGAAGCTTTCTTCGAGATTTTCACCGGATGTTCCCAGACGATACAAGTCCGGGGCGTGAAAGGCCTAGCAAAACCACTACGACCATGAGAATAATCTTTGTCTGACACGCCAGGGCTGTATGTAGAAGTCAAGCGCCTAGACACCCTGCCTGTCTCCCAGCCGCCCCGACAAAAAACCTTGCAAAAAGAAAAAAATCATGTTGGTTTATTTTGCCTCGTTCAAGATTGCAGGGCTCATCACATACGGACACAAGGGTCCGCATGTCGCTCGCGTCAGTGAAACGTCAAAAGTGCCGTTGTTGATAATGATATCATGACTTCTTGTTTGCCAAATAGCGTGGCTCTCGGGAATAAGTGGCGGCCAAACGAGCCCCAGCGCGCCTGTTCCGCCCCTCTGGTGCTCTTCTGGGCCACCAATTGAGGTCTTGAGTAGGTCCGGAGAAATCTCTCGATCATGAGCATGTCTGGCCGCTTTTCGACGCCCTAGTGAGATCTCAAAATTTTGGGGCAACGATACCGGATAACGCGCGTGGAAGTTGTTTGGGCCTGTGACACGACGAGACGGGATTAGTCGAGAAATTGCTGCAATGTGAAGGATACCACGGTGTTTTGCGGAGCACGTAGCATCAGGTCCGGCATGTATTGGCCTTGCCAAGATCCTCCGGAGCAAGCAAGATCTGGACACCAGTCACCTGCTGCAGTATCCGCCGTGGACATCTTGCAGAGGTAGGGCGGGCCTGTGGAGACGGGCGACGGCCAAGAAAATCCGTCGGAGATTCAGAAGCTTATTCCGACCGCAGTCAGCGAGACAAAAGTCAACCAACACGTCGATCTCCGGCGTGATCGGTCGCCAGAGAGGACCATCGAGCCATCGAGCCTGCAGGCCCAGGCTGCAATCTCTCCTGAAGTCGAGCTTGGATCCTGGTCGCGAGGGGAGACTAGGAGCTCCTTGAGCCTTGAACCCTGGCCAAGGAGACCGTGCTACTACCCCCCCGAGACCGACACCGCGCGTGTCTCCGCAGCACATAGGCATGTCTTGTGCGTCATCCAATCTGCGGCTCACCTGACCTCAGTTCATCGCCCGGACGACAGACTCCAGCTCTGCTCTTGACCGAAAGAAGTGGAAACCCAAAAAAGATATTGCCGGTCGTGTTTCAGCGTCTGGGCAGTCTGATCGCGCTGAGATTTGCGACCATACCCCTCGTTCGTCTCGGGGCTTGGGCTCTCATTACTACGTAGCATATGTTGACTTGTGCCAAAATTATAACGGGACGCGGACCACAAATTGGCAAGTTTAATCACGTAGCCAGTAATGAGTCTCATCCTAGGGCGGGCATGGCGAAGGGGATATCGAGACACACATATCGATATCGAAGCGGAGAGATCGAATAATTCATGCCGCAGTCCTGTGGTATTGGGCGGGTGCAGAGTCGCGACGCTAAGACGGACAGACATTGGGCACATGTATAATACGGCATAATAAGAAGAAGCTAAGCCGCCCGGGCTGCCGAGACGCTTGGGTAGTATCCACTACGGAGGCCAATTGGCCTAGGAGGCATCTGGACTAGCTCGAGACTAGTCAACGACGTACGACGCACACCGGCATGAGGTCATTGGTTGTCCAATACTATGTCAAGGTGCATGCATCGTGGAGGAAGCGGCGGATGCCACGAGCGTTGGCGTGGTGAATTGGGTTTCCAGCTCGAGACCGTTTCCAGCTCGAGACCTGCATTCTGGAAAATCTGACCTCGACACTGTCTCAAAATCATCGTGAACGAACCGCTCAGTCATAAGCACGTCCCCTGTCGCGAGCATCGTTGTTGTCCGCCACGGTCGCCCGTGACAAAGTCGAGGTTGCACACGGCGTCCGGCAGCATCACGCGCAGCAGGCCTGCGTTGTGAAGCCCTTGACAATAACGATTTCCCAGAGTGGCCCTGGCAATGATGGATTCAGAAACAGAACATCTTGTGCTGCCGACCCAAAGCAACCGGCGCCACCCGTAAGTAGATTCACCTACCATTTACAACGGCACACCCACGCGAGGTGGTATGAGGACTGCACGCGATGGGTCTGGTTCAGTGCTGATCTTGCTTCTGCAGATATTTATCAGGGAACTTTGCACCAATCAACAAGACAACCTCACTGACGCCGTGTACATACTCGGGCTCTGTCCCCCTTGACTTGGGTGGCGGGCAGTACGTTCGAAATGGCGGCAACCCCGTCACAAACGACGATCTCGGCCGGGATGCTCACTGGTTTGACGGCGACGGGATGCTGAGTGGCGTGCTGTTTCGAAGGACTGGGGAGAAGGGCACCGCGATACAGCCAGAGTTTGTCAACCAATTCCTGCTTACGGATGTGTATGCCTACGCCAGGCGAAGAGCTGGACCCGTTGGCGAGCATGATGGAATCCTGAGCCGACCTGTTCTCCCCAGCATCGCAACGTTGGTCAATCCAGCCTTGGGTTTCTTCACAATCCTGTGGGCCATCCTCAGAACCATGATTCTGGTTCTCATGTCGCATCTGTCGAGTCAGGTACCCCATCAAAAAGATCAGCGTCGCCAACACCTCGGTCATGTACCACGACGGTCGCGCACTGGCCCTTTGCGAGAGTGGCCCGCCACTGAGATTCTCTCTGCCCGGACTGGAAACGATCGGGTGGTTCAACGGCCGCAGCGCCGAGAATGAACCTAGGCATCAAGACATGAACAACAGAGGCGGATTTGGTGGCAACGGCGCCCTCTCGTTCATGAAGGAATGGACAACAGCCCACCCACGAGTCGACCCCGTGACAAAGGAGCTCATCGCGTTTCACGCCGTATTTATCAGACCATTTTGCTACTACTCCATCGTTCCACCGTCAGGGTCCAAGCTGCCGACATCACAGCTACCTTCAAGCGCTCCCCGGCTCTCGATGCCTGTGCCCGGGAGTCAAGGCACCAAAGATGATGCACGACTTCGGCGCGTCTCGAAACCACACGGTCATCCTCGACCTTCCGCTGACACTCGACCCGAGCAACCTCGCCCGAGGCGTCCCCGTGCTTTCATACGACTCACGGGGCAAGGCGCGCTACGGTGTCTTCCCGCGATATCGACCTGATCTCGTACAATGGTTTGAGACGAATCCGTGTGTCATCTTCCACACGGCCAACTGCTGGGATACCGTCACGCACACCGGAGAGATGAATGGTGCCAATTTACAACAGACATCTGTCAACTTGCTGGCTTGCAGGCTGACATCCGCTTCGTTGGTATTCAGCACGGGAAACCTGCCCACTCCAGATGTCAAACCTGTTCCGCCAGAGTATGCAGAAGAGGAGCAGTGTAGGCTGTATTACTACAACTTCCCCTTGTCCGCAAATGACGGCACGGACGTACCTGGCCATCGCATCCGGCACCAGTGGGCCTTGTCTGCCATTTCCTTCGAATTTCCCACTCTTTCTCCGAATCACTCCATGACCGAGGCACGTTACGTGTATGGGTGCTCAACAGGATCTGCATCATATACCGTTGCCCTGGGAAAAGCGGCCAAGATTGACTACCTCGCAAAGATCGACGTCAAAACGCTTATCGAGCGTGGTGTCCAGCAACCCCCACAGCCTATTAAGGGCTGCGTGGACACTCGTACTGTCGCCGAGATCAGAGAGAGCTGTGACCCCAACGACCCCATCAAGCTATTCGAGATGCCCGACGGTTGGTTTGCGCAGGAGCCCCGCTTCGTTCCTCGGAGGGAAAGTGAGCGGAAGAGCGAGGATGACGGATGGCTATTGACGTACGTGTTCGACGAGAGCCAGCTGGGCCCGGATGGCGAGTGCGACGAGGACGCAGTCAGCGAGCTGTGGATTATCGACGCCAAAACAATGAAGGACGTCGTTGCAAGAGTGAAGCTGCCGCAACGGGTGCCGTATGGGTTACATGGGTCCTGGTTTTCTGAGGAGGAGATCAAGGAGCAAAGGCCGTTTACTGCATTGAGAACGCTGGCGGACCAGGAAGGAAGTGCATTGTCCAGGAGTTTTCAAGCCATGATTGAGCGTTGGATTGGATAACTGGCGATTCTAGCATCCTCTACACATAGTAATACTAATTGGGCTTCTCAGCCGGTTTTCCTTCAAATCTTCTACTGCCGTTTTCCAGCTTAGGGTTGCCCTGTCTCGCTTTGTAATTACTTTCCTCCTATACTTAAGGCGACACCAGAATATCCTGGCCTCTGCTGACACGAGCACTGCTAAATCCGATGTTATGACCGATACGCACAACTTGTAAACTCCACTCACTCGCAACCAGTTCATGGTTCACACTGCCCCTCCCCCCTCCCCTTCTTTTTCTATCTTTCTTTTTCCCCCTGGTGACGCCTGTGTCTTGGGACATTCTCCATTATGTTAATTTTTTTTTTTTGGATCTAAACTATAATCTGGTGACATGCTCGTAATTCAAGAAAGACTTGATTTTGTCTCGGCAACACCTCTCTGTGTAGAAAATGTGTCTTTAAAAGAAAACAAGAATTGGAAAGGATAGCGCATTGGATCTGATTGTTTAATACAAATCTTTGTCTAGGTGCGGGCTCTCCTGTGTCCTTTCCATGCTTATCAGTCATTATCTAGAAGCCTATGTATGGCACACAACCCAGGCTGTACGTAGGCTACAATATGTTGCCACTAGCTCATACCTATCGATTGGACGAATGAGAGAAATTCGCGGTGCACGCTCGCGCCGCGAGTGGACTTCATGACCGGCTTATCTGGGTGAGTTTTAATATCATGACTTGGGTATCCATGACGTTAACGCCGAAATACCGGCCGATGACCCACCACACCCTGAAAAGATGGGTTCATGGACCACCTACGCGTCCATAACCATGCTGAATGAGGCAATCTTTTTCAAGCACACGGCTGACAAATGTTGACGGTGTGACGTTAAAGGCCCACCGGCGCCAGTATCATCCGATGAGATATAAATGAAGTCGAACACGTGTGGCGGGCGCTGGCAATGCCTCCGAAGACTTTTGGTGACCCGGACAGCATCACACGTTGAAGCAAAACCTCATCATTACACAGTAATATCTCAAAAAAAAATACTCCAATAAATTTAATCGGCAGAATGGCTGGCCAGACCAACGGCGCGCAGAAGGGGGTCATCCTCGTCACCGGCGCAACCTCCTTCGTCGGGACACATGTTATCAAGCTCTTCCTCCAGAATGGCTACCAAGTCCGGGGCCAGGCCCGCAGCGAAAGCTCGGCCAGGAAGATTTACAAGGCCTTCCCTGACGCCGGCGACGCACTCACCACTGTGATTGTGCCGGATATCACCTCTGCCAACGCATTTGATGAGGCTGTCAAGGGTGTGGCTGGTGTGATACACACGGCCTCGCCTTTCGTCTTTGACGTCAAGGACAACGAGAAGGACCTCCTCGACCCTGCCGTCAAGGGAACCACCCGCGTCCTCGAGGCTGTCGCCGCCCACGCGCCCCAGGTCAAGCGCGTCGTGGTCACCTCATCTTTCGCCTCCATCATCGACCCCACGCAGGGCTACCGGCCGGGCTACACCTACACCGAGAAGGACTGGAACCCCGTGACCTACGAGGAGGCCAAGGCCGGCCCTGGTGCCGTCGCGTACTGCGGCTCCAAGAAGTTCGCCGAGAAGGCGGCGTGGGACTTTGTCGAGGAGAAGAAGCCCAACTTCACCGTCTCGACCGTCTGCCCGCCCATGGTGTACGGCCCCGTCGAGCACGACGCCGACATCAAGAGCCTCAACACCAGCATCGCGGACGTCTACCGCTTCATGGACGGCAGCTCCAAGGAGCCGGGCGCCACCTCGTTCCCCGCCTTCGCCGACGTGCGCGACGTGGGCGAGGCTCACTTCCGCGCCTACGAGCGTGCCGAGTCGGGCCGGTATTTCATCACGAGCGGCAACTTCGAGAACATTGACGTGTGCAGGGTGCTGCGGGAGACGCTGCCCGACCGCAAGGACAAGATCCCCGAGCCCGAGCTCACGGCGCGCGCCGAGTTCTACAAGCTCGACAACTCCAAGACGGGCAAGGAGCTCGGAATGAGCTTTACGCCACTGGAAAAGTGCATCCGGGACACTGCGCTGAGCCTGGTTGCGCTGGAGCAGGGAAAGACATGGAGGGAGGTCTCTAAGGCTTGAGCGAATCTGTGGAAAAGGATATTTGAATCTTGTGGAGCATTTAGATCGATAGACTTAAATCAAAATGGCGGGACCAGGTTGAGTGGGTACACAGTCTCATATGAAATGACTGAGATCTCATCTGTAGTGGGGTTTTGTCGCAATACTTGAAGTGAATAAACTATGAGGAATGCCTCTGGGGACCATGGTCGACTGGGCTGGCAATGACATGATTCAGGGGTATCGTACGTCGTCCAAAGCCGCAGGCAAGACTTTCAACCACTTACTGGCACGCAGTCGTAGGAATAATATTCGAATTGGCCACAGCAGAGCCATACTGGCAGTGGTTATAGCTCGACGCAAAGTGGTTCAGCTGAAAGTAGGTAATCTTAGGCGGATAAGAAATGGGACGGGAACAGTTAACCCCACCCCCGGTGCTGACAGTAGCAAGTAAGTAATACATGAATTTCTGCGCATACCAAAGCTTCCTTTGTCACCATGTCACTAGACTGAGGCCCATTGCAGGCTTTAAAATTTTGAATTCAATTATCACGGCTTTTCAAAAAGGAAGCCCGGGAGGAGGATGAAGCACAATCTGGCGCCTTGCGGTAAACAGTTAAGCCACTCCGAACCCATTCTTTTCTTGTTTCAGCATCACGATCAATTAGGGCATATATGCCGTCTCTCAAAAAGCACAAGTCTGCGTGTGGTCATCCTCATCGTCCGTGACACTCCTCACACTGAGCCTCCTCCGGTTCGCCATGACTTCAAACGCCAGCGCTGTCAGCTCGGCATGGATGGCAGCGTCGTTTGCGGCTTTCATTTTTTCTAGTGCCTGGCTGGCCTGGTTGAGCCTGCCGGCAAAGGGTGCCCGGAGGTTGTCCCAACAGCCAGGTTCTTCCACTGAGACATGCTGTCAGCGACGTGTAATGTATAGAAAAGGGGGTGGGGGCCAAGATGACGCCCGAGGGTGAGACGGGATACGCAGGGGTTGAAGACTGACGTCGAATATCAGGATGCCGCTCCGTGGCCCACTTGGTGAGCCCGACATGCGAAGAGGCATGGAACATGAACCCCAAGAAATCCCTCCCGCCGAGTTCCGCCTTGAGCTCCCGCTCGGACTCGCGCCTCCAGCAGTCGTAGCTCTCCCCGTGCGGCATGTAGCCCTGCTCGAAGCTCAGGCCGCCCGCCTCGAGCCTCCTCACGCTGCCGCCGTACTTGCCCTTGATGATGCCCACCAGCTCCGTGGCCATGGTGCGGTGGTGGTACGGGATCCGGAGCGTGTCCCTCGCCACGGCGTACTTTTCGCCAAAGACGCAGAACTCGACGAGACTCACGCCCGGCCACTTGGAGGGTGCGGTGAGGACGGTGTAAGCCGTTGGGTCGAGCTGGTCTGTGTTGGCGGTGAGGTGGGTGAAGTGGGACAGATCGTACTTGTAGGGGCTATACCGGCCGTGCCAGGCAACAACGTCAAAGGGTGTGTGTGGTTGGGTATACTGATAGAATTTGCCGGCAAGCTTTGTGATGATGCGCCAGTCGGACGGGGGCGTCATGCCGGGGAACGATTGGCTGTCCTCTGGTGTCACTGGCAGCGGGTCAAAGTCGACGTCGAAGCTGGCCACAGGGTACTGAAAGTCGCGGACATGAGCCAGCCCGTTCGCACCCAGTGGTCCCAGCTCAGGGAGTTTGAAGTGCGCGCCAAAGGCCTCGAGGATGTAGCCAGACGCCCCGGCCTTTTCCGGGAAACTCGCAATGTTGACGGAGAAACGGAAGCCGGGTGGGACGACGGCTATGGAACCAGGTGGCACGCGGAGGTGGCCGAGCTCCGTCTGGATGTCGAGGATGCCGCGCGTAGGGACGATAAGGAGCTCCCCATCGTTACTGACGAATGCCTGCCGGTTCATGTCCGCGTCAAAGGCAAAGGTGTGGACGGCGAGGCCTTCCTTGAGGGTGGGGTCGCCATGGCCACAGAGGGTGCGAAGGCTCTCAACGAAATTCACAGGCCTCTCGGCGGCGTTGGTGGTGCCATCGGCCGGGACGGGCTGTCGTAGAGGACCCCATGTGTGGGTGAGTGGTGTGAAGTCGACGTTGGGGTTCAGGGGGAGGAAGCACGACTCGACCTTTGCAGGAACTGGTAAGCAGCCAAAGCCCAATTCGACGTCTCGGAACCCGGTAGCAAAAGAAGCAAATTACCTCTGCGGACATCTGGCAAGGTCGCAACGGGCGATGGGCCACAGAGGGCCTGACTCGGTACATCCACCTGGTTGGGTTCAAGATATGCACGTCAACGCCGTGTCGATGAATAAATAAATAGGGCTGAGGCACAAGGCCTGCACATGTGAGGTCTGGTAAGGGCATTTAATTTTGATGACTTACGTATTTAGTACGGACTCGCGTGACGATATGAATGACGTGCCGTTGAGGTGCTCGGCATACAGGCCATGTGGGTGCTTCTGCGGCAGGTTGGTGCCGTTCCTGGGCAGGGCACCAGCGAATGCTTCTGACGCATGATGGTTGCCGAAGCCGTGCTGGTATCGATAGGGGTCATTAGGAGTCGGCTGTGATATGTGGCCCAGCACGGCCGTGTGGTGGAGGCCGTCGTCGTTGATGAACAAACTCCCCATGCTCTCAAGGGAGGAGGAGTGCGGAGACAAGGGTAGAACGTGCTCAAGAGCCAAGTTGGCCTGTGTTGTGCTGGTGGCGGTGGTGCGGTTGGTGTTTAGCCGGGAATGTGTGAATATTGCTTATAAGAGAAACAACATGTGGGCGGAGGCACGACGGGACAGAGTGTGGGCACCAAGGGGTATTTGTGAAGTCAGTCAGTGGTCGAGCATCGTGAGGAGGAGGCACGAACGGTGACGACCGGGAGCGGGCCCTGCTGTCTGAAATTAAGTTCGTAGAGCGGCCAACAGCAGCTGATCCTTCAGAAGTGGTCACTTTTTGTGGCACTGGTGACAGCTCGAGGATCGGTGAAGTGAGTGAGTGAGTGGGAGCATGCTATGGTATGGTATGCCATGATATGATATGCTGCACTTGCTCGCATGGTGCGCGGCAAGGAGGCAGAACCCGGGACTACAAAGGAGACGCAGGGCTGTACAGTATCTCGTGCTGGAAACGCAAGTACAGAAGCCAAGTAAGTACCTTCGTACATGGACCACATACCGCTCGATCCGGGATCTACTCGTGGCGCGGACATCAGTCTGGCGTGTCGCCCCGAAGAGAGTCCGTCCCGTCCGAAGCCTGCATGGCTGCGTCGTTGTGATGGGATGGGGTTCAGTCGGTCGGTCTACCAGAGAGACGGCGAGAGCAGCCGGGCATGCTCATGTAGTGTATGCGCATGCAGGTGCGGGCCATGCAAGTGAGGCAGTGTGAGGCGACGGTCGACCTCACAGATCGGGGCCAGGGCCATGTAGCGAGCCCATGGCATCGCACCGCATCGAATCGAACCGTAGCATATCACACATGCCATCAAGCCGTCGTCATCCGTCTCTGTCTGCCGGTGCGATCGATGCCCGACGCTCGTGGCAGACTGGCCGCCTCCGAAGAGGGTGTCACTCACGGCCACGGCCGGGATGGGTGAGGAGGTAGGTACATGCGGATTTACAGTCGAGCGGAGAGAGGCCTGTGCCACGCGTGGTGATCCATCCATACCGGACTGCTGGGCCTGAACCAGAGCAATCCCTGGCTGTTGACTGTGGTCATCAACGGGCTTGCGCGGCAACGGGCTGTGAACTAGAAACGAAACACTGTCATAACTATATCTAGCGCCCCAATGGTGAGCGGCGGAGTGTTTGTGCCGGGGCAGGGTAGGTTGGAAAAGAGGGAGGGAGGGGTAGGTTGAAGAGGGAGGACGAGAATTTGGCGCCCTCCGGTCACAGACGATGTGTGCACACAGACTGGACAGACGAACAATCGAATGGGACGGTCACACCAGCTCGGAGCCTGCACCAGCGCCGGCTGCTCTAGCCAGGCATGGCAGTTCCAGGACCCATTTTGCGGCAGGCAGGCAGAACTCTGCAGATGTGATGCTGACGACGTTGGTAGCGGTGGTGGTAGCACTGCTACTGGACGGCAGAGTCGGTCTCGCGATGCCTCCTCGCTTGCAGCTCCTTGCGACGGGTGCATGTGTTGGGCCGGTCTGGCTCTGGCTCTGGTCTTTTGTTCGTCCGTCCGTGGCCGGTTGGATGTGGGGGTGCGCACATCCGGGCTAGCGGAAAACGACACTCGCCTGACGAGAAGAAAAAGGTAGATATGAAAAAAGGTCAGTCAGGTCTTCACGAGACTGAGGCCTGATGCGCTCCAGTCCGGCGTCGCCCGTCCAGAGTTCGGACTGTGCAGCACTGCAGCATCGCAGCGGAAGAGGAGGAGATCGTGATGGCGGTGTGCAAAGACCACTGCTTATCCTGTTGCCCAAACCTTGAATGCGCCCACGAACAGGCCCGGGTTTCCCTCATCCAGCCGCCAATGCGCCCTTTGCACGGAGGCAGGCCGTGACAAGCAGCGGGGACCTTGCCCGGCCCTGCAGTGGGAGCAGCCAGCCACGACTGCAGGGCACTTTGCGCCGCAGGGGGGGCCGCAGGGGGACCGCAGGGGCGTCCGAGGCACTCGCGATCTGTGCCATTGACGGTCGGTCGACGCGGAAGTCCTCCGGCGGCCGACGGGCCACACGCCCCCCTGCGTTTCCCACTCACACAGCCAGGATGACAACCGATCGGGAATGTAACCTCGACAGCCAGAACCGGGCCCCGGCAGGCTATCTGCCATGCTTGAGAGTGGTCCGGGCTGGCTGTTGTGCTAGTCTATTACTTGGTATAGACAGCTAGGGCTGGGAGAGCTTCCTCTGGGGCCATATTTCCGTCGAGGAAGCGCGCGCCCGTGGTGACCATCTGTACAAAGCCATGCAATATGTACGTCAAACAGAGTCAGACCTAGCACGAATTGTGTCGATAACAGCGTGGCATATTGCCGTGGATGACGCAGTGCGAGTACGTTGAGTACAACCGTTGAGGCGCATCGAGCCCATCCATATAGTCGCACTTTGTATACACATATAGGCGTGTGTGTGCATGTGCATCCATCGCGTGCAGAAGACCCGACGCTGTCGAGCCACCTCAGCAGTAGCAGCATTGTGCCTGCCCGAGTCTCCGGCAGGGCTGGGAAGAACCGCCCGTACTTTTAATGGTTGCATCTACCGGTATGGGTCGAAAAGTAGCACGGACGGACCCATCGAGATCCACTTTGCAAACCTTATTCGATGTGTTTTGTCCCCAACATGCTTCAAGTATCCGCGAACAACGAACAGCTGAGAAGGCAAGCAGTGGAGCTAGCACGGTACGCAGCAAAGAGAAACCCTGCAAGTCAAGACGGAGACGGTCACAAAATATCACCGCCCAGCCAGTCAACACGCCGACTCCCCGCCGACTGCAGCTCGCCAACGAACGCCTTGCGAGACGATGCAACCGACCTGTCGCGTACGGATCTTAATTTACCTCCTGTAATGGTCAAACTCGGGCTTGGGGTCGGAAGCAGGGAGGGGCCACTGCCGAGCCTCAATGGCCAGCCCGATATGGGTCTCACCCGAGCACATGCTCGCGCTCGTGCCAGATATCCAGACAGCCCAGACAGCCCAGGCTTGAGAAAGGCAGACAGATTGGCACGACTGCCTGCGTACTCGACCCACACACATGCAACAACGACACACACACACCCAGGCAATGAAGCTGGCCCTGGAGCAGCCCCTCCGTCCCGTTGGAGTCGCCCAGGAGGGCTGAGTGAACATTCAAGGCTGCATTCCTTCCGCGCTGACCTACACACCACGAGTGATCAAATCCAATGGTTTGACCAACGGGACCGACTGTCTCGCAGGATGCGTGACTGTCTGCCTGCCGGACGAAATATCCTTTCGGATTGATGGCATTTCTCCCTCCTCCTCCTCGTACAAGTGGCGAATATCTTCATCGGCATGTCAGGCACCGCCTTCAGGCCCCACCCTCGTTCTCGCTCTCGAGCCGCCTCCACTGAGGACTCCACAGACGAACTGTCTTTTTTACCCACCGCCATGTTTATTTTGAGGAGAAAGCAAATCGGGTGATCGATAACCCAACAACAGGCCCGTCTAGCCAGGCGAGCGGATCTGGTTTTAGGTTTCTTGTCCTGATAAACAAGACGCGGCGACATAGGCAAGCACTTTCCATACCGCCTGGACCTGCCCAAGGCGGAAATGCATCCCATGCCCATGGGCATCCAGATCTTCAAGTCGACGTCCGTGAACTCTTGACGCCCAATCCATGGCGGTGGCGTCTGAGAAACCACCTTGGGAGGTCGGCTCTGCCATTCCGGGTGCCCAAATATACAAGCCTTTGTGAACCCAACCCAGGCCCCCAAAGTTGTTTTCCCGGACGACGGTGACTTTCGCGTGCCGAACGACCGAAGAATAACCTTCGGCTCATTGCCACTCCCCTGCCTGCCATGAAGGACGTGCCCCGGAGCCAATCTGACCGTGCGTCCTGCCGCTACGCCGAGGTTTTCCCATTTAGGCGCAGACCTCAGAGCCCACGGCCAGTCAAGAGATGGACCTGCTTCCACTCCACCTCCCAGAGGCCGCCGAGGAGGGAAGCACCAGCAGCTGGCTCTCTGTCACCACATCTGTCCAACAGGGAGGCCACACCGCACCACACTTCAACAACAGTAGCCACGGCCTTCCAACGCTTGGAGGCAGGCCACGCACACCGCACATGCGCCATCGACGGCGTGGCTCTCGAGGCCAGACATCAGCACCGCATGCCGCAGCTGCATGTCTGGCGCGAGACCAGAATTTTTCCCGGCTTTGTCTGTGGTGGTGGTGACGTGTCGTTTCGTCCTTTCGGTCCTTGCAACAGTGACCCTCGCACAACCAAGTACACCTTCCACATGAAGGTCAATCGTCCCTGTAGTGAAACGCGGTGTCAATTCCGCTTCGTGACTGATGCCCTCCCATAGGCCGGGGAGTTCCCAGAGGATCCGCAGTAATCTAATCAATTTCATCAGTACCAGACAATGTGGGCAAACGCCAGCAGCTCTCGAGATGATGCTGGCACTGAGAAGCAGACGCGGGCTGGTGTGCACGGAATTGGCATGGGACATCGAAATTCTTGCATTCAGCTGATTCCTTCGTTTCCACATGCTGGCTAAGTCGTAAAGAAGGCATACTCGCCACCTCCACACCCTCCTTCCCTTGCGACTTGCGATCATCGCGCCCCGATCTGTTGGACAGCCGCCATCCATTTCTGCTCATCGGCCCTAAGACAAAACAAAAGAAGCAAGTCTGTTAGCCAATGTCCCAATTTGTGATAGGCAGGTTAATAAAGAGGGTGAGAGGGGGGAGAAAAGAGACAAAGTGTGGTTGTATCATAGGGTGAGGTCAACGGGCCCCTATTCCGGCTGGCAGTCAACTGGTTGCACAGCATACCCGATCCACGCATCACTACACTACGGTCGTGCAACACAAGATGGCCCAACCGACATCGTCACATATCCCAAGGGTGAGCCTTGCTCGATCCCGCGCGGTCTGCCACCCTCCACGCCTCATGCAGCAAGAGATCTCCTCGAGTCTCAACAGCAATGAGACACGGAGTGGCAACCGAGCCGAGGGAGGAGAGAGGGGTCCCATGATCATGGCGACAAAACAAAGGCCGGGGACAACTCACTTGTCAAACCTCAACAGCTTCCCCAACACGGGCACGAGCTGCGCCCTGAGCTTGTTGTCCTTCTGCTCCAGGAACTGCAGCATGATCGTCTTGAGATACACCGCATCAACGCCACCCCCACCACCACCTCCAGCCGCAGCGCCATTGCCGCCGCTCCGTTGGCTCTCCATGCTGCCTCTGCTGCCGGCCGCAGGACTGTTCACCCCGGTGGCGGCAAGCTTGCCCTGGACGATCTTCAGCTCCTTGGCGAGCTTGTCATGGCGGATCCTGTAGTCGTCGAGACTGCGGCGGAGCTCGTTCCTAGCCTTCTCCGCATCACGCACCTGCTGTTCTGACGCATCGAGCGTGGCGCGCAGGTCGTTCACCGTGCGCCGCATCTCGTTGACCTCCTCGTCTGCCTTGGACTCCACAGCCTCTAGCTCCTCCCTCCTGCGCCGCCACTCGCGCTCCTTGTGTTCGAGCTCGTCCTTCTCCTCGGCGAGCGTCTTGCTCTCCTTCTCAAGCTCCTTGATACGCTGCTTGAGCTCTTCGGCCTGGCGGTTCGCGCGCCGCGAAGAAGACAGCATCTCGTGCTCAAAGCGGTCGCGCTCCTTCTCGGCCTCTTCGATGCGCTCGTGCATTTCTCTAGATTTGGAGTTGGCGCGCTCGTCGGCCTCGGCGAGGAGGCGGCGCATGGTTTCCGCCTCTCTTGTGCGTTCGCCGAGCAGCTTGCGACACTCCGAGATCTCCTCCTCGAGGCTCTCTGCTTGGCTCTGGGACTCCTTAAGCTGGATGCTGAGCTCGTGTGTCTGGTCCCGCATGCTGCCTAGCAGGTTCTGCGCATTGGTGTACTGGCTTGTCTTGAGCTCCGAGTCCTCCTTGGCAATGTCCGCCTCCTTGCGCAGCTTGGTGCACTCGTCCTCGAGCTCCTTCACCCTCGGGCGTAGTTTGGACATTTCCTCTTGTAGCCTCTGCAACTCCCGCGTTGCCTTCTCCTCCTTGGCGCTGAGCTCGATCTTCTCGGTCTCCGCCCTGCGCAGGTCACGGCCCGAAATGCGCTGTGCGTTTTCCAGGCTCAATTTGGCATTGGTCTCTGCTGTGAGCTTTTCGCGGAGTGTCTTGGTCTCCGTTTCGCGGTCGGTGGCCAGCCGCTGGGCGCGTGAAACCTCGGTCTTGAGCTCCTTTTCACGTTTCTCCATTGCACGCAGCTCCGCGGCCTTGGCGGCCAATTCCTCTCTTGTAGATTTGAGGGTGGCTGCTTCCTGGCGGAGGCTCTTAAGCTCCGGCTGCGCCTTTTGCAGGACCTCGCGAAGCTCGGTCAGATCCCTGTACCTGCTCTGCGCAAGCTGTTGTGCAGCGCCCAGGTCAGATTGTAGTGTCGACGACTTGGTCTTTAGATCCTCGAATTCCTGTCTCATGGTGTCGAAATCTCCCTGTAGCTTGTCGTTAGTCTGCGCAGACGACGAGGACTGCTCAAGCTCCTTCTCGAGCTCAGCAATCCGCTCCTGAAGCTGCTTTCTCTCGGCCTCCAGTCCCTTGATCTTGTCCTTGGCTTGGACATGCTCGTCGCCAATGTCCATTATATTCTCTCGCAGGGTCTCGATCTCTTCCCGTAGATCCTCTTCCGTCTTGCGCTGCTTGGACAGCCTCTCGATCTGCTCATCCTTCTGCGAGACATCGGACTTGAGGCTCGCGATTTCGACCTGCAGCTCAGAGATTGAAGGGCCGTCGATCGGGGTCGCGGGAGGTTGCGGCGTGGTTTCGCCAGCATTGTTCGTAGTCTCTGCAGGGGCCGTAGCTCCAGCTGCTCCGCCCTTCTTCTTCTTTTTGTTCTTCTTCTTGTTGGACGAGGATGGTTGCGTCGTCGCGGCAGGGACTTCGAGAGACTCGGAGGGTGTGGTTGTCGACGGAGTAGGTGGCGCCTGCGGGACCTGGAGCTGAGCATTGAGCTCCTCAATCTTCTGCTCGTTCTCAAGCTTCGACTGCCGCAGGGTTTTGATCTCTGTTGTCAAGTCGACGATGCGCGTGTCGAGGGAGGCCTTGGCTTCCGTGACCTTCTTCAGCCCGCTCTCGAGCTCCGAGTGTAGGGCACTTGTCTCGGCCAGTCTTTCCTCCTTCTCCTTGATGGCCGTTGCTGTAGCCGCCTTCTCTTGCTGCAGCTGGGCTTGCATGTCCTTCAACTGTGCCTCCAGCTTCTCGATGCGTTCTATCAGGGTCTTGATCTCGATATTGCGTGCCTCAACCTGTGTCTGCAAAGATTCGGCCATGGCCGCGCTATCCCGCGACTCGCTCAGCTCTCGGGTCGCCTTCTCGAGATTCTCAACGAGACCAGCGCTGTTCTCCTTGGCAGTTGCAAGCTCGGTCTTGAGGTCGTTGACAAGGGCGTTTAGCTTCTCGATTTCCCCGTTCTTCGATTCCACCTCGGCTTGTAGCTCTGGGATCTCGTTGTCGTAGGAGAAGAAGTCCTCGCCGGTCCCCTCGGCATCTTCGTTCTTAGACTCGATAGGCTCTGCTGGCTTCTGCTTGGGGGAGAACATGCCCAGAACGGACTGCACGGGGGATTTGACGTCTGACGGGCGTGGGGAGGTCTGAGTCGCGACTTGAGCCTTCTCAGGCTCAGCCGTGCTCGCCTCATTCCCAGACGTAGCTGGTCCGCCTTCAGTGGTTTTAGCAGCCTCCAGAGCAGCCACTTTCTCCTTGAGCTCGGCAATCTCCTTGTCAGCAGCGTCGTTCTTCTTCTTGAAGTCGTCCTTCTCTGCAGAGACACGCTTGAACTCCTCCATGACCATATCTCCCTTGAGGTTCAGCTGGTTGAGGTATTCGAGAAACGCGGTTGGGTCCTTGATGGATGTGAGAGGAGTGTTCTCGCGAAGAGCGCGTTCAAAAGGCTCGATGGAAGTGGCTCGACTGTGGGCGATACGGTAGGAGCGGAGCAATTCTGGACAGCAAGTCAGCTGGACATGCCATGTCTGAGGTCTGAGACACGACCTCGTAGCGAGATGTGAACCAACCTGGGTATGTGGCCTCGAGCTTTTCCAGCTTCCGAAGTTTGGTGCGCACGTCCGCAGGCAGCTCGGGGGCCTCGTTCTTAGGCGGCGGCGCAGGCTTCTGTTCGTCGTCCTTTGCTCGCGCCTCGGCATCCTTACCGGGCTGCGCAGAGTCTCCAGCTCCCGCCACAGGGCCAGCCTCGCCGCTGGCAGAGCCAGTGTCTTTTGCATCACCGTTCTGCGGCGCCTGGTCATCGGAGGGCGGTTTTGGAGTAGTTGCGCGGCTGGGCTCGTCGTCGTCTATGACGAAGGCGGCCTCGAAGACAGCAGGGTCCAGGTTCGCGGCACCGTCGTCGTTCTTGGAGACATCCTGGCTCTGCTTCTTGGCCCTGGGCTTCCTGGCGGTGGATGCGGCGCTATTGCTCCTCGAGACGGACGACGACTGCCTTGGGCTGCCGCTGCCACTACCGGCGCCTGCTTGTTCATTGGCGGCTTTCTGGCGGGCCTGCTCCTCGGCGATGACCCTGTCGAGCGAGCCCTTGAGGCGTTGAAACATGGCGGAGACGATGGGAGGGTCTCCCAGGAGAATGCGGTCGGATCAATGCGAGGCGAGGCAGAGCGACGCAAAGCAAAACGGCAGGTTGAATCGGGTCGGGTCATCCAAGGTGTAACGGAACTAGCACGGTAGAAAGGGCATAATAGCGTGCAGCGCCGGTCTGCCCGGTGGAGGAACAAAAGAGAGAGCAGTGGCGAACCGTTCTCTGCTTGCTTGTCTCCTACCCTCTTCTCTTGTTCTGGCGATGTGTTTCGAAAAAGTCCAGCCTTGCTTTGGCCGGGCCTTGTGCTCTGACAGCCAAGACGGTTATCCCTCCGTATCTTAAACCGTGAGCTGGCCAGAGCATCCAATTGCGCGGCCGGCCCCCCTAGGCGAGCTCGGCCCCGAAAGCTGGGGCCAGGTACTTTCGCCCCTTTGTACCTTCGTACCTCTCTCTCTGTATTGTGCATGGATTGGCACAGGGACACAAGGCCCCACCTGTGCTGTTTTAGCGGCCCCTGACAGGCCTGATCGACCGTGAAGGGAGCTGTGAGGTCACTCATGCCGAGCTCCATCTCCAAAGGTCACAGGCGAGATTGACACTTTGGGGCTGCCTGCGAGGCTGATACCCTTGGTTCGTGGACGGACAAACTCTGGACCATACATACTACAAGCACACTCTCGACGGCGACCGTATCCCTGTCATCTTCCGACCTCACCTAGCCAGCACTTCTACAATCGCGCGTGGACCGTCGGCACAGCTTCATGCCTTCTCTTATTTAGCAAGTTTCAGTCATATATTTTGTCAGAACATCTCACCGCTGAGCAAGGACGACCCTGAGCAGGGAGGAAACTTTCTGCATACCTCGAGACTCAGGGGCGCCAGCGACGATGGTCTCACTATGGCCATGGAAGGTGTGTTTTGTTCCTGTCGTAGCCCCGGATGTGGCCTCTGTGTCCATGACATTCAACACTGACTAACCTGGTTTCGGCCGCCTGTAGAAGGACGACTCCTCGACTGCCTCGTTTGAAAAGACCCTGTCCGTCCTGTCCACCAACATCACCAACACTCAAGCTCGACTCGAAAGAGCCCGCGCCTCTAGCCGTCGTGTCCGCCTCCTCTGCACCCTGTACCTCTCCATCGCCTACCTCATCTATGCCATCGTCGTCCTGGTCGTCATTGGGACGAAGAACATAGGCGCGTACGAATGGTCTGGCCTGGCTGGCGGCCCGGTCTTCATCTACCTCGTCCGCACCGTCACCACTGCCGTTTACGACGTCCGCATCGATAGCTTGAGCTCAAAGCTGAAGGGCCTTCAAGGCGAGAGGGCCACGACCATTCAGAAACTGAAGGATGCCACCAAATACGATTCTACGCTGGAGCTTCTGGAGAAGTACGGTGGAACAGACGGGAACCCGAAGCCCAAAAGAAAGAACACCGAGGATGGCGATGCCGAAAACAAGAAGAGCCCGCGCTCACGGCGACAGAACCCGGGTCCCGCTCAACGCACACACATGCCTCCGCCTGCCACCGCGAACATCCGCCGCAACGCTCTTCCCCTCTCGAACCCAGGAACGCCTCAGCCATCAGGCACCAGACCACAGGACTCCCTTCAGCAGCAGCACCGCCTGCCGTCACCGCACCAACGCACTGAACCCTCGGCCGAGTTTGCGCCCAACGCATATGAAGCACCCAGGCCCCAGTCAGCCCATGTCGCCGGGGCACAGTATGAGATGAACCCTGCTGGGCTGCAAAATCACTGGTATGACAGAATCATGGACACGCTGCTCGGCGAAGACGAGACGGCCGCCAAGAACCGCATCGTCTTGATCTGCAAGCAGTGCCGGCTTGTCAACGGCCAGGCGCCCCCAGGGACGAACAGCCTGGCCGAGATGGGACTCTGGAAGTGCATGGGTTGCGGAGCCAACAACGGGGAAGAAAACGAGGGCAAGCGGATTCTCAAGGAAGTTTTGGGTGGGAGGGGTGACTCTACAGAGAGGACAGATGACGGGCACGAGAGCGACTTGGTTGAAGTAAGGGGTGATGAGGCTTCGGAAGAGGATAATGTGCCTGTGAAGGTGGAAGAGGAGACTACCGGTGCGAGGAAACGGAAAGGGAAAGGTAAAAATTGATTCACTAGTTAAGTGGCACAGGTAGAATCAACAATCTGGAAGCTCTCTCTTCCCACATTCCTTCTGAATAGACGAGAGCTTACAAGAACAAGAAAGCAAAAGAGTTGTGTATTGGTCTATATTTAAATTAAGTCTTGTGTTTTATTCTTTGGTTTTGAGGGGGGGGGTGGTCAAGGGGTGGCTCGCATTACACTTGGGCCGCAACCAGTGAGATGCTGACGCTATTCAACACCTTGGGGTTATTTTTACAGATCATTGTGACTTGTTATTCGCGCCGAGTAGGCGTCCGCGGCGAGCCGTTCACAGAAGACTGTGCCGTATCGCGGAGGGGGTGATGGTCTTGCCATAAGGTGCTTCGCCGCCGCTGCTGCTCGGCCTGTGCAACCATACTCTGCTCGTGATTCCACGCAACTCGCTCCTCCCATGTGCGCCATGCTAGAGCCGCCCACCTGTCGCAAGCTGGGCATTTGCCATCGAGCGTGCCAAGCTCTGTCCGCTTCTGGCGGCACTGAACATAGACGGCGTTCTCTGAACATTTGCCATAGCGGTACGTATTGTGCCCGCAGTGGCTGTGCGAGGTGATGATTAGCAGGCACATGATCTTATTCTGAGGCAGGATATCTCAACTTTGCAGGCTGGCGACTGGTGGCTGGCTTCCTTCTGTGTGGCGTCCTAAAAGGTTAGGAATAAGTGTCCGAGTGCGTAAATTTCCAACCTTGGAATATATACACCACATGAGCATTTCTGGTTCCAATTACGATTGTTCATTGTCAAAGTCTTTGCTTTGAATAAAGGGCACCTCAGCGGCACACATAAGCGGCACCTCAGCTAAAGACACCATGGATTGTTCTGTCCCAACTTGCCGTCCCGCGGGAGAACAATGGCACAGGGAAAAGGCCTTGAAAGGAGCCGTGCTTCGAAAATTAACAAAGGCCAATGGACCAACCTGACAATTCAAATTGTTCGCAATTCCCGGTCTCTGCACAGTCCTTTTGATCGGCATTTCCAACACTTCACCAACAACTGAACACGGATAACAAAATACACATTAGTACTCTGCCCACCCATTATATACGAAATTCAACAATGAGTCTCAGAATTCGATGTCCTAACTGCAGGCGTGGCATGTCCGGCAAACACGGGCTCTGCACCGACTGTCGCGCACCCTCCACCCAGACAACAGTGCACGTGGTAGAGTCAGGCGCGCGGATCGAGGTCACTACCGACTCACCATCCCGGTATTCTTCCTCTCGTCGTGGTAAGTCCAGGTCCAATTACTCCTCGGCGGATCGCCGCGGTGAGTACTCATCTTCCAGCCGCTCTGCTGAATCGTATAGGGATGCTGGTCGGTGCCTAGGACGTGACGAGCGGGATATCGAGTGGGACATTGCCAATGGCTACCCCTACTACCCCTATGAGCGTGACACTTGGCAGGGCCACGAGACACACAGGGATGCTTACGTTCGGCCCAGAGTGCACCCTTATTCCGATCGATATGAATATGTATCCACGGAGGCTCAGTCAGGATATCCTTCGTACGGCGGGGTGTACCCGAGTAGTGCTCAACGAGATAGCGTATCATCATCCTACGCTGGATATCGACAGTCACGCAGTGAAGGCCATCAACCTCGATCATCATATGCCCAGACGCAACAACCTCGCGGACAAGAGAGCCAGGTACAGTATGTGTACTCGGGAACGGAAGGGCCAGACGGAGAGATAATTGATTAGGTGAGTTGGTTCGCTCGAAACATGAATTAATGGGCGTTGTGAGTGTGTAGCATACATAAATGATAGTTTAGCTACTATGTAACTGACGCAATCTTGCTTGCGTGCCTGTCCACACAAGGAGGATTAATACTTCTGAGGTGTCATTCGCATTTCGAGTCTGGAGCCTGTCAAATAATAGCGTTGGATGCTTGGTCTATTAGGCTAGCTAACGTCTATTCAACGGGAGGGAAGGCCCCTATTTATAGTTATTATCCTCCATATAGTGGCAAACGTATGGGGAAAAGGATATCCCGTATTAATAATAGCCTAGATATCTAGAATATTTCAACAGCCCCCCTTAAACTAATTCCCTTTTATTTATTTTATTTTATATATAAGGGATTTAGTTTATAAAAAAGGAATATTTAGTTATATAGTGAGAAAACCTTATAAAAGGGGAAAAACTTACTTATTAAGTGTTTTATATATTTAGGCAAAAAACCCAAAAATTTGCTGTTACTTTAACTTAAACTTATAGCCAATAGGGTATTATATATTAAATTATGGTTTTATATGGGATTTATTAATTATTTTATAATAATTACGGTATATCACGGCATTTTTATACATTAAAGTTACACGTTATTTTATTTACATTATATATACTACGGAAATACGTTTTCTATGTAGAATTAAATATATATAAACGTAGTGTAGGTATATTATAACTGTGTATATATGTAATATATATGGGCCGTATAAGTAACGCTTATTTTTCAGGAAAAACCTTTATTATTTTAATTATTTCTTTTAGGGGAAAACCTTCAGTATTAGGGTAATATTATATATATTGTTGGCGGGTGCAGGGAATTACGTAAGAAATGGTATTGCATTAAATTCCGGCTAACTATAAAAAGCTAGCTTTTACGCTTATTTTAAATATTCTTTTAAGAAATTAACTCTTTTTTTTTCTTATATATTTAGTGCTTTAATTAAGCTTTTCTTATTTTTAAGAATTTCTAAAATATTTATCTTTTTTCTTTCTTTAATTCCCTTTTATTTTTATCTTCCCTCTTTATTATATTAAAGCTTTTCCTTAAGTTATCCTTAAGAAGGTTTAGCAAAATTTATTCCTTATTATTTAAGTAGCTTATTTTCATTAATAACCTAACTTAAGCATAATTTTAATTTTATATATCTTTAATTAATAATAAAAAAAATAGGAAATTAGCTATAAGCTAATTATTTATTAATTTTATTTCTTTTTATTTTTATATTAAATATTATTAAATTATTTTATATATTAACTTAAAGCTTTAATTAAAGCCTGCATTTATCTTTAATTTATTATAAAAAAGAGTTAAATATAATTAAATTCGCAATAATATTATAAGTACTTTAAGATTATTTTCCAATTTTAAGATACCTCTTATGCTTTTAATATTTAAATAAAATATTACCTTAATTATATATTAATACACTATTAAACTTTAAATTTATTTTAAGTCTTTTATTAAAGATTATACTTAAAATATAATAATAATATAAACTTAAGATTAAAATAATAAATTTAAATTTTATAAATATTACTTAATATTAATTAAAAATGCTTTAAACTCTTAATTAATATTTATTATTATTATTATAACCTTAAGCTTAAAGTAAAGAGGGTTATAATATAAAATTAAAATGCTTACCTTACTTACTTATAAGTTTAATAAATAACATTATATTATACATTTTTATATTAATTAAATTATATAAAAAACTTAAACTTAAAATATAACCTTATTTAAGCTTTAATTAAACTTAAATTTAATTTACTAAGAATTTAATATAATATTAATAAGCAAAGCATTAAATATAAATTTAAAAAGCTTTCTTTATTATAGCCTTATAATTCTTATCTTTTAATAAAATATTCTTTTATTAAGTTTATTTTATTTATTATATTTATTAATATCTTTATTCTTTAAACTTTAATTTAAATATTTTATAATAATATTAAAGATAAATTCCTTAAAAATAATTACTTTAATTAAAAATATTATTACTTTTAAGTTTCTTTATTTTATTATTATTTTAATAAAATTTACTATAATATATATATTGCACTTTTAAGCTTAAAGCCCTCTTAAACTTACTCTTACTTTAAAAATACCTTTAAATCCTAAAAATTATTTATTTTCTTTTACTTAAAGCTAAAAAAGGAATCTTAAGAAACTTATTAAGAAAAAAAAAATTTAATTTTACTTATTATTAATTAAAACATTAATTTTATTTTAATTAAACTTTATAATTTATTATTAATAATAAATTAAAAACTTAAATTAATATTTTAAAAGTTTTACTTTTTATTAATATAATAATTTTATTATAAATAGCTTTATTTATAATTTATAATTTAAATACCTTAAAGTTTAATAAAATTAATATTATTAAGGTTTTATATAGCCTTAAGATTATTATTTATTAATTCTTTTATTTAAATAATACTATATTATTTTAAATTTAATAAAAGTAATTAAAAGCATTATTATTAAATAATTTATTTAAAAAAATTAAAAAGAAAAGCTTTTTATTTTTTATAAATTTAATAATTAAACTTATTATATAAATTTAATTATAATTATTAAAAATATTATTTATAATAATCCTTATAATAATTTAAAAGCATAAAAAGGGAAGATTATAAAATATAATTAAGAACTTAATAATATAAATAATATTTCTTTTATTATAACTTAACCCTTTTATAAAATGCTTTTATTATATTTAAAAAAAGTAGCTAATAAAGAAAGGAATTACTTATAAGTTAATAAGAAATATTCTTTAATTAAATTTTAAGTATACCTTATTAAAAGTTATTAATTAAAAACTTAAATATTTTAAGTAAAATAAATATTTATTTATATAAAATAATTTTAATTAAAATTTACTTAATTTAAAAAGGCTAAATTTCCTTTAAAAAAGCTAAAATAATTTTAATTTTTTAAATTACCTTTAAAATAAAAACTTATAAGCTTAATAATTTTTATTTAAATTTAATTATATTAATATTATTAAAAGATATAATTAAAATTTATAAAATATAAATAAACTTATTAAAAGGTTTATAAAGTTAAAATTTAATTTAATTAAGTTTAAAAATAAATTTAAGTTATTTTAATAAAATATTAAAGCTTTTTTTTATAATAAATAATAAAATAATTTTAAAATAATTAAGCTAAAAATTATAAATTTTATTTAATAATTTTTAATAAAACTTAATTAAAGTAATCTTAATAATAATAAAGTATAAGTTATAATTTTAATGCTTTTTTTTAAAAAGAATAAGTTATTTAAAGTTTATTATAATTATACTTCTTAAAATTATAATATATATTAATATAATAAGCTTAAGCAACTTTTTTTAAATAGCTTATTAATAGCTTTTAAGCTAAAGAAATTATTAATATTTCTTAGCTTACTTAAAGATACTTAAGCTAATTTTTTAAAGTATTTAAACCTTACTTATATTTAATTATATTATAATTAAAATAATTATAATTTAAAAAGATATATTTATAATTAATTAAAGTTTTTATTTAAAAAAGAAAAGTTTAATTTACCTTATATAATTAAATATTATAAGCTTATTAAAATAAATTTTTTATTTAAAGAAAAAGCTTTATTAAGAGCTTTAAAAGTAATTTAAAAGCTTAATAATTAAAAGAAAGTTAGCTTAATTTTAATATTTATAAATTCTATAAATTATATAATTTATATTAAAAAAGAGCTTATAATTATAAGTAATAATAAGCTTTTTTAAATAAATATTATTATAATTAAAAAAAAGTATATAGCTAAGAATATTAAAGATTAAAATAAAGTTATAAGAATTATAAAGGCTAATTATATTTAACTTAAAGACTTTAAAAAGGTAAAAAATAATTAATTTTAAATTATTAATAATAAGTTATAACTAAGGAATAGGAAAAAAATAAGGGAAAGGAAAAACTTATTTATTAATTAAAATTAAATTTAAAAGAAAAACATTAAGTTTTTTATAATAAGAGTAAGCTTAATAAGTGCAATAAACTTAAAATTAAAGAAATATATTTAATAACCCTTATTACTTAAGGAAAAAGTAATTTAAGTAATTTTAATTATAATTATTAAAATAAGTATTATAAATATTTTAACGCTTAGCAATATTAATTTAATTTTAATTAAGTACTTATTAATAATATAATTTAAGGTATATATTTTATTAAAAATACCTTTTAAGCTAATATATTTTAAAGATTATATTAAAGATTTATTTTTTAAAATTAATATAATTACTTTTTTTAAAAATAATATTAAAATTAATACTTTAATTAATTTATTATAAATTATTTAATATTAAGTTAACTTTATTATTATATTTATTATAAATATAGTTAATTAAGAATATTTTAGTTTAGCTTATTTAATAATTTATATAAAAGTAAATAATTACTTTTTATAGCTTATTCTTTTAAATATTAAAGCTAAAATAAATTTCTTACTTTTATTATATTATAAATATAATAAACTTTTATATACTTTGCTTAATAATATAAACTTAATAATATATAATAAGGATTCTTTATTTTTAATTAAAATTATAAAAAAATAAATTTATATTAATTTAAATAAAATTAAAGCTATATTTTTTATTATTAATAATAAAACTTTTAATACCTTATATTATATTTTTTTAAAAATATTCTTTTTTTTAAATATAAACTTAATATTTAAATAATTAAAGGAATACCTTTATGCCTATTTTATTCTTAGCAATATTAAGGTAATATATAATTTAAAATAAAAGAATTAAAAGCCCTTTAAAGTAGCTCCTTTTAAAAAAGCTTAAATTCCTTAAAAGTATTTATTAGCTTTTAAAAGCATTTTTTTACTTTCTTTAAGCCTTAATTAAAGCTTAATATTAATTAATATATTAATTATGCTAACTTATTTTAATATTAAAATAAAAGAAAATAAAAAGGTTTTAAATA